CTCGTCGGCAGTGTGCAGCTCTGATGCCCCAGTTGTACACATCAGGTTATAATAAGCATGGCATAACCAGGCATGACTGTTTACGTGGTGGAGGGATGGGAGCAGCGGAGGCTAGGGCCCTTCGCCAAATGAAGTCCCAGACCAGGTCAAAGGAAACATCAATAGGCTCCTGGCTGTTGGCAGAGATAACAATAAACAGCACGTACACACAAATATTACTAAATGAGCACAGCTGATGCAGAATAGTCAATATAAGAAAAAACATTTTTCGCTTGGATTTTACTCAAATAGGTTGAGGAGCTTTAAAAATGTTTCTTTGGGTTAAAATTGTATTTTATTAGTAAATATGGGTGATAAGGATAATACACAAACACATGTGAACCCTAACTCACCAAGCACACCCAGCTCAAATCATGAAACCTGCACCTCCGTGCTGCCAGCTGGGATCAGCTGTTGGGGCACTTAAGTGGTTCAGTTTCTCTGAACAAGCTCAGTCTTTTTTCTAATTGTCCCATCATGACCTTTAACCTCTAACCGGGGTCTGTCTTTACGGTCTGCAATTGAGTTCTTGGGGTTTTCTCTCTGAGGGTTGACCTCTGACCTTGAGGAGGACTTGCCTGGATGCTCACTCTTAACCCTAAAGACCCAAATTATTTTGAAATTGGAATAAATACATTAAAATGTAGAAAAACATAAATTAAAATAAATAAGTAAAATAATTTTCTATGTATGTATGTGTTCCTACATTATTAGTTGTCAAACTTGAACATGTGACTCTAGAAGCAATTTTGCAGATGTTTGAAATGGGATGTGACACCAGTGTCACCACAGGTCCTTAACGGCTATGTGACCTGTCACAGTGTATCCTGGGGTACCCTAACAAGGACGTTACCACCTGCAGGACACGAGGACACAGGACTGTGGTGCACAAGGACCCTTTCCTATCAACACACCTGCAAAGGGTTCCTGAGCCTTTAAATGGTTTCTCAGTCTACGATGGATTCCTGAAATAAAGAGATTATTCTAATTTTTCCTGTTTCACCATTATTTTTAGTAGTAGTGGTATTGTTGTTGTTGTTGTTATTATTTCAACAGTTTGTAGGCACATTGCTGTTTTAGTACATTTTTGTGGGGCGTGTCTTGTTTCCTTTTGATCGTCTATAAATGATTCTCTTTTACTGTTTCTGTTTTTTGAGGGTCGATCACTTTGGTGTTAATCAGTGAAAATGCTTCACAAAGGAATTCTCCAAACTGGCAACGTTCTTAAATGTAGAGAAAGTTTCAGACACCCGGAGGCCTCTGGGCCTGTGCTGCCGGGTCAAAGGAGCAACGGCGTTATTAAAATAATGACTCCTCAAACAAAGAGAGGAGAGCGTTATTAGTGACTTCTGAAATGGAACTAGATGAGGAGGATCATGAGTCTGGATTTACAGATAGGTTTTTCATTCCACCTCCAGACTCGCTAATGAGACAGGGTTTGAGAGCTGCTAGCGAGGGAATGGTTCACAAACGGCAATTTTCAGCTTACAAAATGTCTTGAAAATTGCAGAGTAAAATGCTCTTTCTGATGGTGATGAAAAGATCTCATTAAAATAAAAAGCAGAGAGCCTCTTTGTTGTGCTTATTGGGCGGACAAGGAGAGCCTCATTCTCCCGCCGTGCTGTTGTGTGTGTGTGTGTGTGTGTGTGTGTGTGTGGTGGGGGTTCGGGGCGAGGGCCATTTGCTTCAATGAGGCCAAAAGGGTAAGGGATGTCTCTCTAATGACTCTAACAAGTAGGAGAATGTATTACAGCGGGGCGTGATGCCCCAACACTGAACAACACCACAGCCTATTATCTGTCCCCCAACATAAACACACACCTGAACACAAAGCAAGTGAGACCCTGTGACAAACACAGGGGGCGGAAACAAAAAGAAGTGGCCACATACTCACAGTTCTTCCACAGCGCAGGTGAAACACGCGTGAAAGGAGACGGACGCCTGAATAGACGAGTCTGTAAAAGGTGGATCAGTGCTGCGGAAAGAGGACTGATGGCAGCAGGCGGGGTTCTCACCAGACTCATTTAGTGTCATGGCGATCTGTTTCTAAAACAAATCTGATTCACGCTTACTGAGCATCAGCGAGGGGTCATGGGAACGGCCTTTTCTGATTGGAAGAAAACAAGTTCCTTCATCTAAAGGAAAGAGGAGAATCCTGGGCCACGGGTGATCACACTCAGGGTAATTACACCATTAAAGCAAACATTTCATTTCCCTCTAAAAGAAGCATATATAATAAAATCATCACTCCCACTACAAACACCCATAATGGCTGCTTCTCATTAAATTAGCAACACCCTCTTATTGATGAGTGATGAATGGAGGATGATTATGTTCATCTCATCACCGTAGCGTTTACGAGTAGATGGTTGGAGAGCAGCGGGCGAATCAAAGCTCCATCTTTATCTGCCGAAATCCAACAAAGTGTAAAAATGAATGAGTCCAATTTAATAATTAGACTAAACAAGGTCAGGTCCAAGGTCAACAGCTGATATAATCACGTGTTTGCACAATTAGTGTGATGCTGGGTCTGTTTTCTGCAATTTTCCTGTCTGTATCACACACACACACACACACACACACACACACACACACACACACACACACACACACACACACACACACACACACACACACACACACACACACACACACACACAGGTTTGACTTCAGAGCAACACATAAAGATATTATCGGCTATAAATGCAGTCTTCACTTGGCTTTCTGAGCAGCCCCACCTCCATTATAAGGAACTGCTGCCATCTAGTGGTCAAACTTGGCCACTGCTAGTCCGGATGAGTTCTCCAGGGTCTGCAATCTGTGGCTCAAGATAAACTTTGGTCAGAATGGAAACTCGTGTTTTAGAAAACAAATGTGATTTTAAAAGCACACTTTATAGCAGCCTTTCAGTACCAGAAATGTTTTGGATTGATTTATTATTTTTGGACAATGCAGGTACGTTCAGCACATGATATAAAACATTTGGGTTAATATTTTATTCTAATGTTAGCTTTGAAAGTCATTTTTAGATTTGTGCAAATGCGACCCTTTCTCACACAGAGGTATTTTTCTCTGAGGTCAACTCCTTTCTTAATTCTGAGGAGAATGCAGGACTGATCCGTGAGTTACGTTTATAATGGCTGCAGCATGGACCAGAAGACTGCAGTTCATCAGTAAACACAAACTCAAAGTGAGAGCATCTCTGTGCCAGTGGCTCTGTGTTCCATGCTGTTGAATTACAAAGAGTCTGACCTCCTGCAGCCTCCTGCTGCACCTCCACATCTCCTAGATCCAGACTGGTACCACAGGGGATCAGACCCTTTTTGCATGACAATATTGGCTTTTGCTGCAATTCTATATGAATCAATAAGAAATGAGTGTGAAAATGTGCAGTCCCTCACTGGCTTCCTGGCTGCAGGATGCACATTTCCATTGTTTTCAGTAAAAACGTAGTGGGCATGATGGGAAAAATTTGGTGGTGTGGAAATAACTAGAAATATGTGAACAACTAATACATCTATGTGTTGCAGATACATTAGTGTATTAGTCGACATGTTATGCTAAACTCAGCTTTTTGGTGAAACCATAAAAAAAAGAATATGGTGCAAAAGTTAATTTATGTCAGTAATTTAACGTTGACTAAGGGACCGTCTAAATGTGGTGTTTTCATAAAGCTGTAAGCAATAATCATCACAATTATAACAAAGGCTGAAATGTCTGGAACGTGACTAGTTTCACATTTTAAGCTGAGTTACTGATTTAAATTAACTTTTGCACAAGATTTAATACTATAGAAATTTTTGAGCTTCACCTGTAAACACTCCAAATATGAAAAACTGATTTCTTGTTTGTGATGTGACAAGTGGGAAAGTTAGGATAGATCCACCTCTCACATATAAGAGAGATAATGCTGGAGGAGCAGCGGCTCTACTGGAGCTCCTCCAGTATGTAAGACCTTCTCAGCTTCTAGCAGCCTAAGCGGGGGATGGGTGGATGTCACAGAACCCTCAAATGGCTCATTCTGGAAGGTGCCAAAAATGTCAATAAAATAGAGGAAATAACTTGTGATTTTATGCAAACTTCATTAATGACCATCAAACAGTCCTATAAAAGTCATGTCTCTTTTGGAGCATGAGCAATGTGGTGCAAATGGAACCGTTAACCAGTGCTGCTGCATGCAAGGTTGTCATGGGACCCAAAGTGAAAGACCTGCTGTTCTGAGCAGATTCTCTGGTGGTGGGCATGCTCTGGCCCAGAAGTCTGGAGGACCACATCAGGGAATGTTACAGCAAGCAATGCTGTCAAATTAGTGTTTCACTGCCTCACTACTTTTGTAGTTTTGACTTGGTTCAAGGGTTCCCAAGCTATTGCCTGCACTGCCTGTCAACACACGGCACCTCTGCTAACATTGGCTTTAGCTTCATTTGACTAGTAAGAGCATCTCAATGGTCTGAAAGATATTGTCATCCCGACGACTACTTCATGTGCATAAAGCACATCCTAACAGCATCCCATCCAGAGCAACATCTGTTCTTCAGCATTTATTTACTGTAGTGATCTTGTCGGATCATTTCTGGTCAGGCTGTAGTCATGTTTAGTGTCTAGATTTAGAATGGAATCAGGAGACGTGTTCCCTGATGTGCTTAAGGCATGACCAACTTTTAGCCACATTATTCACCGGCTTTGAACCTTATTAGTTTGGTTTTACTGCTGAAGGTTAAGCCTCAGTAGTAACCTTACATGTAGCACTTGCACACACTGCACTGTAGAGGCCCACTATAGAACACCTGTACAGGTGTCTGTAGGGGGTGTTAAGCTGACCAGATTGATCAGGTGAATGAGAGCAGGCAAATGCATGCTTCATCTCCAGGACCAAGGTCTGTTTTCCATGCTTCAAGTACCAAAATTACTGGTGTCTGTTTACCTAGAACATCTAGACTTAAACAGAAAAACAAAGATAGTTTCATGGTTTTAAAGTTTATTGTCAAGGTAGTGGAATCAGTATAATGAACAAAAATACCAACTGCTCTGCTACTCAGACAAGTTGTTCCCTGATGTGAAACTTGTTTTACTTTATTACACTCTCAAGCTTGTTTGCATCTTAAGCTATAAGAGGGTTCCTTTCTTAGGAAACATCCCAGGAGGTAGATGAGGTCATGAGCGTTTAGTCGACCTCCTCAATGGTGGGTCCAGAGGACCCACCACCAGGGGCAGCGCCACCAGCTCCAGGGAAGCCACCAGGCATGCCTTCTGGCATTCCACCAGCACTTTGGTACAGCTTGGTAATGATGGGGTTGCAGACCTTCTCAAGCTCCTTCTGCTGGTGCTCGTACTCATCCTTCTCAGCGGTCTGAAAAAAATGAAGTTGTGTACATGTTAAGTCACGTTGAAAAACATAGATGTTTCACAAAGAACTACTAGTCCACCTACCTGGTTCTTGTCCAGCCAGCTGATGACCTCATTGCATTTGTCCAAGATCTTCTGCTTGTCATCATCACCGATCTTGCCAGCAAGCTTCTCATCCTCCACGGTGGACTTCATGTTGAAAGCGTACGACTCCAGGCCGTTCTTAGCAGACACCTTGTCACGCTGGACATCATCCTCTGCCTTGTACTTCTCAGCTTCCTGGACCATGCGCTCAATGTCTTCCTTGCTGAGGCGACCTAGAAGCAGATGCCTGTTAGGAATCCCCATGCAGAAGTTTGAATCTGAGCTGAAAATGTCTCAGAACTTGCCTTTGTCGTTAGTAATGGTGATTTTGTTTTCTTTGCCGGTGCTTTTGTCAACAGCAGACACGTTCATGATGCCATTGGCATCGATGTCAAACGTCACCTCGATCTGGGGAACTCCACGGGGAGCAGGGGGGATGCCCGTCAGCTCAAATTTGCCCAACAGGTTGTTGTCTTTTGTCATCGCGCGCTCACCCTCGTAGACCTGTTTGAACGAATGCAGTTGATCGATTGTGTATTTTAAACACATACGTTGTTAAACAAGAGACAATGACTGCATCTTCACCTGAATGAGCACACCAGGCTGGTTGTCAGAGTATGTTGTGAAAGTCTGAGTCTGCTTGGTAGGAATGGTGGTGTTTCGTTTGATCAGGACAGTCATGACTCCTCCAGCGGTCTCGATACCCAGGGACAGGGGGGTGACGTCCAGCAGCAGCAGATCCTGCACATTCTCAGACTTGTCCCCAGAGAGGATGGCAGCCTGGACAGCTGTCAAAACAAGTCAGATTACTCTTCAATCTGAAGTAAGTTTTAATCACCACGAAAAGGACCAGGTATCTGACAAATATCCTTACCAGCTCCGTATGCTACAGCTTCATCTGGATTGATGCTCTTGTTCAGCTCTTTTCCATTGAAAAAGTCCTGGAGAAGCTTCTGAATTTTTGGGATACGGGTGGAACCACCAACCAAGACGATGTCATGAATCTGGCCTTTATCCATCTTGGCATCACGAAGGGACTTCTCAACAGGGTCCAGGGTGCCACGGAAAAGATCAGCATTGAGCTCCTCAAACCGAGCCCTGGTGATGGAAGTGTAGAAGTCGACTCCCTCATAGAGTGAGTCGATTTCGATGCTGGCCTGAGTGCTGGAAGACAGGGTACGCTTTGCCCTCTCACAAGCGGTGCGCAGACGGCGGACAGCCCTCTTGTTGTCGCTGATGTCCTTCTTGTATTTACGCTTGAACTCGGCAATGAAATGGTTGACCATGCGGTTGTCAAAGTCCTCTCCACCAAGATGAGTATCACCAGCTGTTGACTTTACCTCAAAGATGCCATCTTCAATAGTCAAGATGGAGACATCAAAGGTGCCTCCACCAAGATCAAAGATGAGGACATTCCTTTCTGACCCAACCTGAAAGTTAAGCACGTCAATTTGTTGATTTAAATCCGCCATGTTCTGGTAAAATTTGATTATCTTCACTATTTACCTTCTTGTCCAGCCCATAGGCAATAGCAGCTGCAGTTGGTTCATTGATGATACGGAGAACATTAAGGCCAGAGATTGTGCCAGCATCTTTTGTGGCCTGGCGCTGAGAGTCATTAAAGTAGGCGGGAACTGTGATTACAGCATTGTTGACAGTCTGAAACAAAAACAAAACTAAACATTGCATACTCATGTACACATTACAGTTCATCCATGCACAGGGATACAACTCTAAGATTCATACCTTTCCTAGGTAGGCTTCAGCGATTTCCTTCATCTTGGTCAGCACCATGGAGGAGATTTCCTCTGGGTAGAACGTTTTGCTTTCACCTTTATATTCTACCTGAACCTTTGGGCGACTGCTGTCATTGATTACATTAAAAGGCCAGTGCTTCATATCTGACTGGACGACTGGGTCATCAAATCTGCGGCCAATCAGTCGTTTTGCATCTGTGAAAAACATGCATGTTTAAAGTTACCAAACAAATTGCATAGGTAAATATGCATATGCAAATTACACAATATACATACCAAACACAGTGTTGGTTGGGTTCATGGCAACCTGGTTCTTTGCTGCATCTCCAATTAGCCTCTCTGAGTCTGTGAAGGCCACATAGCTGGGTGTGGTCCTGTTGCCTTGGTCATTGGCAATGATTTCAACTTTGCCATGTTGGAACACACCAACACAGGAGTAGGTGGTCCCCAGATCGATTCCAACGGCTGGTCCCTTAGACATGGTTCCTTTAAAAAATATTTAAAAATACGTAAACAGCAAAACATTTTAAAGCTTTAATTATTAATTTGTTAAAAAGAAAATTATCTACAACTATAAATCAAACACATGTAATATCTACAAGGACCAAGTTGCTCACAATCCCACTGAAACTACAGCGCCATTGTCACCCCTCCCAATATGGCGGACCCGCTGACGCACTGCAACTGAGGCCTCTACACCTTACAGCGATGCGCACGTGCCAATATTTTGAAGTAGTTTTAAACGGATCTGCAGGTAACCCAGAAATATTTGTAGTTAATGAGTAATTAGTCAGAACTAAAGACACTGCGGTCCCACAAGCTCAGACCCAGAGCCTCTAGCTCCCCCAAGCCGGGGAGAAGGCTTCTCAGACCGGCCTCATTCCTGAAGCCACGGAAAACAACATGGCGCCTACAGAGTTTAATGCCCATGTGACAGCAGCAACTCGGGTTTATACACATCAACACCAGAAGTGCATAAATACAATAAAACTTTATGTACAATTAAAGGAGTCAAGTACTAAATATTAATTGGTTTAAAGCATCTGCAATTACGTCAACAAAGGAACCGGAAGCCTGCTCGTTCTTGGAAGCGGCGAACATTCTAGAACATTCTGGAACGAGCCAGAATCCCCACACCCCACCTGGCGGCGTAACCTTCACCAACAGAACCACGCAAACCGTAGCTATTCCGCTTATTATATACAGAACACGAACCAATCATTTACAATTTGAGTGTAATTTTGAGACATTTCACGGCAAACGAAGAAAATCAGCTGAGCTACACCATGGTTTTGATGACGCTTCATTTTCCCGCAACAGCAGCAGGCGGAAATTGAGTCCACTATATAAAGTAGTACAGAATGAGGACGTACATTTTATACACTGCGTACATTTATACACTGCGGTAAAAAACGCCGCTACGAGCGGCCAAAACGACGCCCCACTCGGTCTATATCCGGAGCTTTGAGAACGAGCAGTTTCTAACGCACAACCGCTAGAATAATGTTAAAGGCTACGAAATAAACACTTACCAAGTGTTAATGTGGAGTGAACTGAATGTGACGGAAGAAATGACCAATGGAGGGGGACAAATGCCCTTGCTGGGATGAAAGGAGGGAAAGAACAAGGAAAGCGCAGGACGCCTTATATATGTTGGTGACGCGCCGGCACAGCAGCCAATCAACATTCGGGCTTGGGACATCCACCAATCAAATTTAGAATATTTGATTACGTAACGATTACACAACCTAGCTGCTGGCTCATTGGGTGGACGGAGTTCATTCGGAAGGGTTGTTCGCGTCAGATGGGGTCAACGTGCGCGCACTTTAACCTAATAAAGCTAACCAGGTTTTTATCGTGAGCATCGAATGATTCAATTAAACACATTCATTCCGACTGCGAAGTCTTGTGTAAACTCCGCCTTCCCGGGTGCGTCATTTGGAATCGTAGGATGTCCAAGGAAGGTCCCGCTCTGGTCCCGCCTTTCTCGCCTCTGATTGACTGGAAGGGCTCTCCTGCGATTGGCCAAGAGGAAACCGTCTTCCCTCACAGCAGGGTTTTATGTCTGCAGCCAGATCTTGAAATTTATTAGAAGAAAATGTGACCTCATCGCTATAATAACCATTCTGTCTTTTTTATTATTATTTTTTAACATACCAGTTTCAGTTTCTTTCATTTAAAAAAACCCTGAAAACGTGAATTGTGAGCTTGTAGTAAATCTTGTTGCATTTCATCACACAGGCTGGCTTTTTATCTGTTGGTTGGCTCTATTGGGGTTATCTTATTTCTTATTTTTAGGCTATCATATGTCTTCACTTTAATGGGTTAAGGCTGTTTACAAGTTAGAGCTCACCTCTCATTTGTTTAAATGTGTTTAATTCAAACCTGATTATGATTTAGAGCTATCTTTCAGCAGTTTTCATCATTCTAGAAGCGAAACGGACCTGCTGCTCACAGCTAGGCAAAATGGGGCAGTTGTATTATATTTCATTCCCTGGTAAGGTAGACAGACACACGTTTATCCTATTTACTCTGCTTTAATACGATAACCTCAATGCTTGAGAGCCAACAAATATAAAGTAAGTCCAACAGTGTTATAAATTCAACCAGATTTATTCCAAAATTCACGTTTACGTTTTTCAGTTTTTTAGTAAAAGAAACATTGAAAAATTGTCAAACAGGACAGAATAATTATTATCAAGCTAGGTTCACATTTTCTTTACAAAACTACCCAAAACTGTTTTGTTGGTGACAGGACAGTCATGTTCATGTCGGCTCATATATCCTTTTATGCTTTCTGTCCTTTATTTGTGTCGGATGCGTTTCGCTGCTGTGGAGCGAGCGCATCACCTGTTTCATCCTCCGGAGACTTCTCCGCACAGGTGCGGCCGGCGCGCAATCCGCTATATTTGCGGTCGGTATTTCTTTTAGAACTGCAGTTCAAAGGTAACTCATAAGGTGAATATATATGAAGCCATGTCGCAGTTTTTCTTTAGGATTGAGAGGAGATGCAGGAAGATAATAAACAGACAGGACAGAAAATAGTCAAATAAAAACAAGTTTGTTTTTGTACCTAGCAACAAACATACACCATTGAAGGTAATCAGAAGTGAGGAACAGAAAATTAAATGATTCTTTCAATGTTTAGATAGGCAGGAACTCTGAGAGGCTGCAGGCGCATCAGTGAGTTTGCGGCTGCTGCACAGCGGGAGGGGGGAGAGGGCTGCAGGCAGTAAAGATGCAAAAACTACCGTTGTTAAATGTGTGTTAACTTAGAAAATGTGGGCGCAATTTGAATTACTTGTCAACTTTTTTCTCCAATGTTAAGACTGCTGCACACAAAAAAAGACTGCTGCTTGCCTGGGCCCCCTTGTGGCTGTGGGCCCCTGGGCCTGTGCCCAGTTTGCCCGTATTATACTCCGGCCTTGGGCAGGGGTGAGGAGTGGGCACCTCATGAAGACAGTGGGAGGGTTAAAGAAAAGCCTAAATCTAAATAGTCTGAAGTTTATGCTAACGATGACCTGCTGAACAGGAGATTTAACCATGACTATACTTGCTCGAAGTCTTTCAAAAACTTCTTTCAGCAATGAAGCCGTCCAGTTTCCCAAACTGTTGGTGGGGGCTCCATATGCTCCAGTTATACCTGCAGAAAAGCTAAAAGACATTGCGAGTCCAGGTTACATTGCTGATTGTGTTTGTGTGTATACTTTGCTGTGGTTTGAGCGGAGGATGAGATGAAGTTGTTCTACCTTTTAACACTGATGTCCTTCTCTGAACGCTGTGAACAGGAACAGGTTCTGTGCTGGGACTTCTTCTTTTCCTCCTTTAAGCTCCCTCTCCAGCACATCCAGAGCTCTTTTAAAGGAATCTCCTAACATATTTATGCAGATGACATCCAACTGTACGTCTCTTTTAAGCCCCATGAGATAAGCTGCAGCTGTTACACACCTGCTTTAGACGCCATAAAAACCTGGATGGCTGGCCGGGTACAAATTACACAGAGGCTTCTGGGGGAGCCCAGTGAGAGGGGAGGTTAATTTGTGTCTTGGTCCCAGAAATGCTTTGCAATGGCACTGGGTTTGGGAGTTTTAAAGGCGGTCTGAATTGTATCAAATATTTAGTGTGTCATCAGCAGCTGTAGCTTTGCTGCTGGTGGTGGTGGTTCGTGAGAGTAGGAAGATGGTGCTGGCTGTTGAATCTGTAACAGACCCAGAATTTGGGCCTGTAGACAAGATTAAATGTTCCTGAAAACAGGAAAAAGATGAGACAATTGACAACAGGTGCTGTTCATCTTTGCCTCGCTTCTGCCGATTTGGAGAAGGGGACCTCTAACCCTGCTGCTCTGTCTTACTATTCGAGGCGCCATCCTGTGGCCTGGCGGTGTAATTGCAACCAAAAGAAAGACACCCGCAGTGTCAATTAAATCATCACCATTTCTAATGGGACTACACATTAGTGTGTCACAAATGCATTTCTCATGCCTTTCCTTGTTGGGGGAAGTAGAAACACGGAGCATGTAAGCTAGCTTTGAGGTGAAATGTTTAACTCCAGATTTATTCAAACAAATTCCATTAGGCTGGAAAAAGTGCTTGCGATCCCAGAAGAAGCTGAACTGGTCAAAAGAGGCGATGCTCTCCTCCTCACAAGTGGATGACAGCCATTTGTTGAAAGTGTAGATCCGTGAGAAAAGTTCAGCTCCTCTCCGATAGGTGGAAGGGCGCCACTGATAAGCACTCTTATTTCCGGGGAGCTGAGTGACGTCAGCAGAGCAGTAAAATCACGCTTAAGGATTTCTGACTCCCTGATATCATTAGCACCAAAGTGAATAAAGAGGTTTTTGGCTGTCGGGTGTTTAGAAAGCATTGTTGGTATTCTATATCTATTATAATTCTATAATAGACAATAATTACAGATAAAAATCAAAGTTTCACCCAATTAAAAAACAGTGGCATTTATTGGTACAAAGGTCTTAACATATGTACATCTATACAGTGTTTATGCTGTTGCAACTCAAGTGATCTTCATCATGAGTTCAGCTTATTGGTGTCCTCAGTCTCACTTTATCTCCACAGGAGATCCAGGAACCACGTTCTCCATGTAAACTCTGACCCTTAACGGTCCATTACCATCAGAGATCTGTGACTGATGCATCATGTGGGTCCATGAAGGCTTTTCCTTCCCCCCTCAGAGAGACGTCTCCTTTATGTGGCTTCTGGACGCTGTTTGCTGCGGAGCCGGATCCTTTGGTGTCGCTGCGTTTGTGTTTACGACTGAAGTCATTATGGGGGGTTCCTCTACAACGTACTGCGTGAAGGCCGTGTTAAAGAGTCCTGCACAGAGACAGAGAGGTTTTCACAATCGCTAACTAGCTGCTGCAAGTGACAACCCCCCCCCCCCCCCCCCCCCCCCCCCGTAACTGAACATGTCAAAGGGAACACGCTGAGTTGGACGTGAGGAGATGAATGAGGATGAAACTGTATACCTCTTCGCCGCTGCCCCTGGGAGTTCTTATCCTCCGGGACCGATTTGGATTTGCTGCTCTCCTCTGATGGATCAGAATCATCATTCTCTGTAACAATGAACTCTGTAAGATGTTTTTCTACGTGAATGGAAAGCACGCATGTGTGTGTAAACACTGACAAACTGTGGAGGTTAGACCCTGGGCGGTTCGGCTCACCTCTCTTCCAGGCCATGTGGGCCCTCCTCAGCTTGATCGCAAAAAAGACGACCACCACCAGGAGGCCAAAGATCAGGGTTGTCACCAGGAGGACCAATAAGGAGGACGTCCTTTCAGCACCGACTTGCATGTTTGAGTCAGAGCTCTCTGGAGAAGGACAGAAAACATCATTTTACTCATGTTCGAAAAATCCTTTAGATGCCGTCATGATGGTAGGTGTGGCCAGGGTTAGAGGTTACCTGTGTGGTTTGTCTCCACCGTCTTGTTAAAGAGGGTGTCCACTGTTGTCTCTGAGACAGGCATCAGATCTACACCAGGGTGGAGAAGAAGAGGTGGTTGGGTTCATCTGGGTCACAGTCAGGTGCAAACAGTAAGAACTTTTAATTGCAGGTATTCTCGTTCTCAGCTAATAACTGAGCGTTTGCAGGACTTTGTCTAACCTCCAGAGGTCCTTCCTGCACTTTAATGTTCTATTCTCTTTGACTTGTTTTTATTATTCAGAGACTTTTTTATTGTTGATTTTAGTGATTTGTTTTAGGAAACCTGCCAACAGTTTTGTTTTGAACTGTTATTTTCGTCCGTAGAAGATCGGACACACCAAATAAAAGTCAGGTCTCAGGCAATGAAGGGAAATCCACTGACCACGTCCACATGACCACTAGATGGCAGCACAGACCCAAATCTGACCTCAGATGACCTCACAAATGTCATAGCCTTTGCTTACATCAGCAACTTCCGACTTCCATATTTGAGGAGAAGCCCAAACAAATATAAAAAAGATCTTAAATGAGATTTTTTTTTTTTGCTGAAATCTGGGTTTATAAACTGTCGGAAGTGGAATGCAGCCCGTGTGCTTTTCACGTGGAGATGTCAGCCATCCAACAGGCCTATGTGATATAATCTCGTATCTTTAATCTATAAAGATTCAGCATTTTTTTAAAAGTTGACTCTGACAAATCTGAATTTTGTAAAACATTCGTAGAAAATTAGCAGCAGAAAAATGCAAAATTATCTGTTTACATATTAGCTGAACATAGATGACAGGATCAAAAATCTGTTCCATCAGTGGAAATTCATTTGATTTATTATCTTTCAAACAAGAAGCCACGGTCGGAGACCAGGAAGGAATTCCACGCAGAGTGAACGCTGCTGTTCCGTTCTCACACCCTGAAAACACACCATGACAGAGTTTCACATCTAAACTCTCCACCAGCGGAAACACATCACTGCCGCTGCTGCAGCGGAGGTCTGCATCAGCTCCCACCTCACAGGCCCACTTCTCAGGTCACACCCCCTACACCTTCATCTGCAGCGTTCAGACGCTTCAGCTTCTCCTTCAGATTCAGAGACGAACGATTCTGTCCCTCAAGGGAAACACTTGTGGATTCTCCTCTCAAAGTTTTAATGCTAATTAAAATGTTCCTGTTGTAAACTAAGATGTTTTTGAGAACGAAGTGCTTCATCCTTAATGGGAACTGGTTTCTGAGCTACTTTACGGTGTGAAGACCTGAGAATAATCCCTGATGTCTCATATAAATGACCGGTTTGCTGTCTCTGATACAGAACGCATTTAGAGTTTAATGAGGAGCTATTTTCTCACCTCTGGTGCTGCGACGAGAGCCGCTGGACGTAACAGGCTCCAGATGGAGACTAGGGGTCACCGTCTCATACTTGGGGTCGCTGGAGGAAAAGGATAGACTGGAGGACAAGGTTGACTCCTCTGATGAGAAGACATTCATTATTGTTGTTGTGAAGTCCCCTGCTGCTGTCCTCTGTCCCCCAGGGTGAGCGGTGGGCACTCTGATGAGGGTGGGAGGGCCGGGCCTTTTCTCTGAGACAGACAGGATTAACCATTAGAAACGAGCCTTCACAGTGACGCCAGAGCATGGTGGCATTCACACATCTGTTAACGGTAGGAAGCCAAACTGTTTACGACACAGAAAGAGGAAACAACACAAGGCTGTTGGTTTCAGAGCTGGCCGCTCTGGGCAGTTTAATCCATTAGACGAAATAAAAACCAAACCTTCCCATGAGGCTCCTGTTATATGACAACACAAGCACACACTCGCCATGCTGTAAACAGCCTTCACTGAAGAACTAGTCTGGGTTTGTCCCAGTTTGACTTTCTCTGCTGAATATTTGGCACAAGGGGCAAAACTGGAGTTTCAAGGAAATCTACTCACGTCTCTGTCCGAGTTTTATAAACGCCAGTAGAGGTGGTGAGTACAGGGCTGGGTGATGGACGAGACATTTGACCATGACTCTGTTCCTCACATGATGGACGCCCAACGACCCCTCAGAGACAAAAGTGTGACCATCTCGGTAAATGGTGGAATGAACTGTGGAGAAGGACAGCTGTCAATAAACTATCCATCCATCCATCCATCCATCCATTATTAATGAACCTTACCACTGAACTCGGGTCCATTACTGAGTATCCATGAGATCTGAGGTGGGTGGTGGTTCCCTTCAACTCTGCATTTCACAACATTTACTTTTCCATGTTTTACTGTTGATATCCTGGGCTGACCTTTAAATAATCCAACATCAGTGCAGATATTAATACGTTTTCATCAAACACATGTCTGGACCATGAAAAAATAAAGTTCTGCTGACTGTGTTGACTTACCTAACACCGTCACCTCCACAATCTGCTCGAATGCTCCGTTGTCATCATACTGTGTGCAGGTGTAGTTGCCTCCATCCTTAAAGGTGACACTGGTAATCCTTATGGAGAATTCTGACTGTGATAAGGTGGTAATCCTGATTCGAATGTCCCTTTTTGCTGAAAACAAACAAAAATGTTTTTCACTCTTCGTTCTCTAATCTGCTTGGTGAATTCTTCTGTTGGTGTAAAAGAAGTAAGGGATGTACCATGTTCACCTTCACGTGCATTGTAGAACAAAATATGTCCTTCTGGGTTCTTCCACTCTACGTGAGCGTGGTGCAGATTGTTTAGAAAGCAGGTTAAGCTCACAGGGTCACCCTGCATCACGGTCACATGCTGCACCGCCGCAAGTGAAACTACAACAAATAAAAGGGAACTCTGAGTTATCAGAAGCTTCAGACCAATAATTTAAATGCATGTTTACTGCAGTTAGTGTAGTTTATTTACAGTGAACTCATGACACACTTAACTTCTTATGGAAAAAAATTCTTAATTTGAAATTAAGTTAAAAGAAGCAGAATCATATTTCCATCCCTCGCAGAAAGTACGGAGTTGACTCATGTTGACCCCACGCTGTCTGTATGTGTGTGTGTGTGTGTGAGTGTGTGAGTGTGTGTGTGTGTGTGTGCGCGCGTGCGTGTTTGTGTGGAGGTAGTGTGACATTAACAAACATTAGTGCTGCAGCTACAAGCAGCACCTCTGTAACAGGAAGTGATGTGGTCATTCTTCTGATGTAGAAAAAGAAAGTAAAGTGGGTGAGAGAGTGAAACCCGGTTTCTGTAGGCTGCTGACGGGGGCTTTTGGTGCTTTTCCGTCCTGTGGGGAGGCGTGCTTGGAAAACAAGCTGATGCCCCCGCAAAGGCCCGGCAGCTTTGAAGGTCATCATGAAGATTTATTTTTAAACTTCTTATATTATTATTATTTAGGGCAGAAATAAAAATCATTTATACCTGAATGAGTCTTATTTTTAGACATTTGGGCCATTCCCATCTGTACCGGGTCGGCCCGGGCCGGGTAGCGTAGGTTGTTTACATATCTGGGTGGCCTGGTATTTTTCCGGGCCAACCAAGGCTCATTCTCAGCCCTCTTCTCGAGGGGGTCTGCTTCAGGCTGACCAGGGCCAACACACCCACTGCTGACAGCAAATTCACCCCTTCCATTAGAGCAAGCCTCTGATTGGTGAGTAGAATCAGCCCACATGGGCTTAAGGCAAGGATGTGTGGAATCAACCGGGCCAGGCTGGGGCCGACTGGGGCTACCCGGCCCGGGCCGACCCGGTACAGATGGGAATGGCCCAATTGTATCTTATTTTTAGTCTGGTAGGACAACAACTTATCTAGAAAAACATCAGGACTTAAAATAAGGTAAATGTTGCTGTTGGATCACAAATAATACATAAAATTAATTATGATCCACATATTCTTGTTTTGAGTTTAAAATCTTCAAATGGGGTCAGCAAAGGAGGCTTGAAATACTAAAATAATCTAATGTTGGATTTTATTTAATTTTTTGCTCATTTTAATTTTAGCCAAGCAACTTTAGCTACGAAACATTTAAAACATGAATATTAGAACATTTAACAGCAGGGTTAGAATATGCTGCTGATGGGCCTGTTTGAAAACGAATGAAGGAGTGAGTGAGTGAGTGAATGAATGTCTTGTTTCTTTTCCTCATACCCAACAAGCACCAATCACAGATGTGCATCCACACAGATGTGTATGCTCACTGATATAGTTCCATTTAAAGGAAAATGTTTATTTTTAGCAGCAGATCTACTGCCAAGACGCTTTCCAAAAGAGAAATGCGGTCACACACTACCTTCTGAACATTTAGTTCTAGAGCTGTCTGCGTTACACATGCAGGCCTTTTTAACAAACATAAATAATAAACATTTATAAAATGAGGTTAACTTGAATTGACCTGTAGAACGCGATCAATGACTGACACCATCTATGTCAGGAGTGTCCAAAGGTTTCCACACAAGGGCCAAAATCATCACGTTAAAGTCTTCACGGGCCACAAAAATGTGATTTTTTTAATGATAATGATACATTTTCAATGATAAAAGAGTTATGTGTCAATCACCTGCTGATTAAAACCAGGTGTGTTGCTGCAGAGAAACAGCTAAATAATGCTTGATAGGAGCTCAGAGACCAGGATTGGAGATATGACAAAAACGCATCTGGGGGCCACAAATGCCTCCCGGCCACACTTTGGACATGCCTGATCTGTGTTAAAGGTATGATTCAAGACTGTCCCTGAATGAACAGATGTTTGGACCCTGGGATTCTGAATGAACATCTATGTAACAGATAATAACTCAAAGTACAACGTGAAGATAAAGTGAAGCAGACGGTCCAAATGTATGCGTGAAGGACTGACCTTGTACCATCAGTGAAAAGACACCAAGCAGCAGCTTCTTCTCCATTTGCTCTTCTGACAGTCGCACTGACACTCCAGTGAGCTTCCTCATCACTCGCTGCTTATGAGCTCCACTCAGGGACCTGCCATGACGTTGCACAGCTGTGGTTTCCCCAGACTTTTTAGTTCAACGCATGTGATTTCAGCAGTGAAACTGCAGGTTAACAGTTCAAGATTCTGTCTGAGACTAGACTACAAATAGGTTTTTACACACCAATGAAACACAGCTGATTTTGTAGCATCTGAAACAATTACGTGTGTCTGAACTGCTCTCAGATCAGAACTACTCTAACATGTCACAAGACAGAAGGATTACATCGAGGTGTGTTAAACTATTCCTCTGCTTTAGCTAATCCAATCCAGCCTAGTTAAGAGTCTGGGCTTTTATTCTGAAAGTCATCCCTGTAGTTTTGTCTTTGAGGGAAACTGGAAGAGAGGGATGGGAGTTCTCCTGTGTTTGTGTCTGGAACCGATATAAAGCTGCAGATCATACAGGAACCTGGACCAGAGCTGTCTGGAGAACACACACGCACGCACGCACGCACGCACACACACGCACAGTCCCTTTATCAGGTACAACTGTTCACTATTTGTTGTTCCATCTAATCAGCCAATCAGAAGACAGCACTTCTCTAGGCGCGGTGAAGATGGTCGGCTGTAGTTCAATGTGAGAATCAGAATAGAGACGACAGGAGGGACTTAGGTTGTTGGTACCAGGCTGGTCTGAGTAAATCAGAATCTGTTGATCTGCTGGGATTTGAACCCTCAACCATCTGTAGGGTTTAAAGAGAAAGGTCAGACTGGCTCTAAATCAGTGGTTCCCAACACCCCCCCCCCCCCCCCCCCCCCGCCTGTGTCCAAGACAAGCCAGGACTCCCTAGGCCAAACTCCTACCTGTAGACACATTATGTGATCACTAGCTTTACACAGTTTCACCTCTGATAGAGTTCAAATTGTATTATTATTTGTTATTGGGATTTTATAAATGTTGTTTATCCTAATACAATCTAAGCACAGATGCAATTGTGGGGACCCTGAGAGATCTCTAGTGACCCCCTTGGCTGGGAATCACTGATCTGGATGACAGGAAGACAAAAGCAGATCAGATCAGCACTGGTTCCTGCCGACGTCTGCAGATTCACATCAGCTGCTCCAGAAGGACTCCAGCAGCTGAAGACCACACGGTGTGGTCCACAACTGATGTCAGCTCTGAACAGGAAACTGAAGCTACAATTCACACAGGATCACCAGAACTGGACCAGAAGACTGGAGAATCCGTCTGGATTGGACTTCTGCTGGTGATGCTAGGGGGAAATGTTCCTGGCTCACTTTGTGACCACTGTAACGTTCAGCAATGGTCAGTTTAGGAACAGTCTGACCTTTCAACATCTATTCAACACCTGGTCAGAAAGGAGACACAGCATTGCATGTGTTCCCTTTAAATGAGCCTCCACACCAGCTGGGATTCACAGACTCTGCAAGTCTGAAAGATAAACAATAACTTTCTTTCCCAAGGTCCCATCTGTCTGCCTCCACAGAAGGAACAACTCCAGCTCGATTCAGTTGCTAAATTCAAGAATGATTTCCATCCATCCATGCATTTTCTGAACCCGCCTTGTCCACGCAGGGTCGCGCGGGGGCTGGTGCCTATCTCCAGCAGTCAACGGGCAATCAGGCAGGCCTTAGATGGCTGCTCTCGCTGGTGAAAACAGGATCCCCCCATGCATGTTGGTTTGCTGCTTCCAGCAGGACAATGCACCATGTCACAAAGCTCAGATCACCTCTGGTTTCTAGAACATGACCGTGAGTTCACTGGACCCCAAGGGGCCTCCAGTCACCAGGTCTCAGCCCAGTCCAGAACCTTTGGGGTGTGGAGGAATGGGAGGTTCATGGATGGAGCTGATGGACCAGAACATTGAGGATGGTTCCCAACATTTTCTTGAACCTACGATGAGAAGGTGGTTCTGTAGGTAAAAGGTGTCAAACTAGCAAGGCATACATAATTAGGTTCCCAGCTACAAGAGCATTTCCAAGCAGCTTCATGTTCTAGCAACTGTAGCTAGCCACAGGGAGGAAATGCAACCCCTGGTGGATCAAACATCAAAAGAGCCAAAGAACCCTGGATCTACTGCGGAACAGTAGGGTCATCGTTGTTGGACCTGCACTGGAGCATTTGGGACCTTGAATCTTTTCAGGGTCCAGGTGTTTCTGAAGACCTTCTGGATCCAAATGAACTGCTCACTCAAAAAACTCCCAGGTGATGGGTTCTCCAACAGGACAATGACCCAAACACACATCTACACACAGTGGATCAGAACCAAACACTGGCCTGTTCTGAAACGGTGCTCCTTAAACCCGGAGGATCCATGGAAAGATCTGAACGTTACGGCTTAGAGAACCTCTCAGAGACCTTCTCAGGACCACTGGCTGGTGGTGACGACTGCTAAACTTACATTTTAAATGAAGACACTGTCTGCTGTCATCTGCGTCGTTAGCATTTATTTAACCACTTTAAACATTCAGATGATCAAAACCAAAATGTGACTTTGTCAAAAATAAGGGATGCTATTAAACTTTTGTCAGGTTCTTTTAGAGATCACCATGTTCTTTATGGGGAGGGAGGCTATCAAAAACATGTACGCGCACACACACACACACACACACACACACACACACACACACACACACACACACACACACACACACACACACACACACACACACACACACACACACACACACACACACACACACACACACACACACACACACACACACACACACACACACACACACACACACACACACACACACACACACACACACACACACACACACACACACACACACACACACACACACACACACACACACACACACACACACACACACACACACACACACACACACACACACACACACACACACACGAGTGTAAAAGAAACCAATTTTATTACTGAAACTAATGAAGGTTCATCAACGTTAAAAGAAAAAAACTAATGTGCGTCTTGAGGATGTCAAGGAGACGAGAGCATCATGTCCACCATGGAAGGCAGAAGCACATGGGTCGCACCGGGGCTAAAGGTCAAAGGTCCAGAGCACAGAGACACAGCCATTAGCTCCTGGAGCAGCAGACGACACCCCTACGCTGGACACTGGTTTAGGACATCACATCCATCTTGGCACAGGTGCAGTCTGCTTGTTCGGTGTCCCAGAGTCCGCTAGGGACAGGCGAGGTGGACACCACAGAGAAACGGAGCATTTTCCAGCCTCGGCTTCCAGTCATTCAACAAGCGGTGGGAACAAAATGGGGAGGTGGTGGAACATTTTACACTGTCAATAAATAGTGTCCCCACACACACACACACACACACACACTTCCATCGTTATAATTCATCAGGCGGACCCTTCTTTGTTGATTCTGTAAACGAGAACAAAAGAAGAAACACATGAACAAGTTTTGAGCCACATGAGGACGCCAACAGGAGTTACGTAAGATAGATGCCTCTGAAGGACATCTAAGGTCTTCAGCGGTTTGTTATGTTGGACTGTGGACAAACTATTTTATTGGATGACGTTAACTGGACCCTTATAGACCGTTTTTGTTAGATGTCTCTGGTCTCATCGGTACGAGGCTTCAGACGGGGAGCTGGACCTTATTTCTCATTGGGGAGTGGTTTGACTAAAGCATTTACTGTGGCTACGGCGGTTTCATTACGTGACAAAAACACTGATTTGACCCTGAAGAATGTCTTTTACCTCCTTTAGTTCCTAAAACAACCAAGTCAGAGTCAACCAGACGGCGGGAGAGCAGCACAACTTAGCTGATGGGAGTTTTCTCACGCAGCCCTAATCATCATACATGTGTAGGAATATACCTCTATTGTCCAACTGCACACAAATGCACCACGTGGGACCTGGTACTGACCTGTGGTTCCGGTAGCCTCCGTGGCCTGTGATTGGCTATCAGAGTCAGGGTGTAAAGTGCTCTCTGTGGTGGGGGCGGAGTCATGCGACTCCTGGCTCTCTGGTTTCGGGAACACAAACGTGGACCATGAAGTATGAAACACATCAGAACCGGGTCGGGGTCAGGTGTTCTGCTGGTGACTCACCACTCTGTGGGTCGGGACTCTCCTCTGAGACTGGTGGAACCGTTTCTTCAGCTACGGGAATGGTCTTGTTCTCTTTACCAGCGCTAGTGCTGTTCTTGGGTTTGGATTTAATCTTGGGTTTTGCAAATTTGGCTTTGTTTAGCAGGTAGTTGACCTCTCGATCCAACAAAGCCAGCTTGGCCTCGATGTCCTTGGACAGCAGAACCGGACGCTCGCTGGGAGACCGCTTCTCCTGCTCCAACACCGTCTCGTTCTTCCACACCTGTCACAAAAACAAACCTCAGCATGATGAACGAGGCGGAACCACTTACGTTTAGCGGTTTCACCGCTGCAGAAGCTGAACTGGGACGGAAGCGGTCCGCAGAACAAAACCCAAAGCAAAGAGCAATAATGAGAGTTGGAGGTTTAATCTGGACAAGAGCAGCAAACAGGAAAAAGAGCACAAAACACCTACAGAAGTTTCATTGATGACCTTCTCCAGCATGTTCAGCTCAACTTCTGTAAAGATCTGGTCCTCCTCTGGAATCAGCCTGGCACTCCTGTGGGAGGACGTAGAACTCAATCAGAACCCCCGGCCCAAACACTGCTGCTGCTCCCCTACCACGCACACACACCAGTTTAAAGTAAAATGTAAAAACCTAATTTTAAATAAGTATAAGAATGAAGCAAACAGGGTTAACCAGGACGGTAATGCGGCTGGTTATGCTGTTGTGCTTCTTTTTCAGTGTTTTTTTGGTTTGTCTGGTTTTTCTTTTTTTCTCCATAACTGGTTAATCTGCAAATTTACACACTCTCCATTTTCCATATGTTGTTTTGTTTGTAATATGTATATGTATATATATATATATATATATATATATTTTTTTTTTTTTTCATATGTTGTTTAATTTAAGATTGAAAGAAGATTAAATGAATAAGAGGTAAAACTAGGGGGTAGGGACAAATAAGTAAATACTTCTGCCTACTCCTTTTCAAACAAATAATGGAATTGTATTTTGTAACGATACACGTGTGAAATGTTTTAAATAAAAATGAACTGAACGGAACACACCTCAGGAAGAACGCAGACGTGTTGAGCAGGGTGTTGAGGGCAGCAAGGCGCTCCGGCCACTTCCGCCGCTCCTCCACCCTAAAGAACATGTCCTTGCACAGGTTCCTGAGCTGAGACAGCTTGTCCTTCAGCTGCTTGGTGGTGGCAGCGTAGCCGTCCTCGTCCATCCACTCAGACGCTTCCCTCAGCTTCACCGAGATGTGCTCTCTCCCCTCCTCAGTCACCACCTGCTGGTATTCCTCCTGGTGCAACTTATCCTGCAGACACAGGAAGCGATCGTCAGGGTCCTCGTTTCTAAAGGCCGCTTACGCTCTAAACAGGAGCTGAGAGTCCGGTAAGTAAAGCTCGATGAAAACTTTGTGATTCTTAAGAAAAATGGGAAAGTGTCACAACTTGATGCAACCAGTGATCGTGGCGTAAGCACAGTATGGAGATGGGGAAACGCAGCACAGCCGGTGTCATGCTGAATTAAAGCTACATGTGAAGGCAACTGTAAATGTGTCCGAACAAAGAATAAAAATAAGAAACCTGAATGATGTAGCTTTTAAAGCATCCTCATACCCTTTAAAATACTTACTGCTGCATCATCTGTCGGACCGTCAGATGATGACACTTAGATCGTTGTCGCTGGTTTCATCTTCACCCAATCACCCGTCGCATTTAGTAAAGTGAAGCCAAACTTTAGTAGCCTGGCAAGCCAGACTAAATAAATGTATTATTTAGTCTGGCCATGCTCCATTGACGGCTCTCGGTTGTGGGGCGGGTTCTACCGTTATCTTTCAAATGATCTCCGCATTCCACTGGACAATGAATGTGACATACTCTTGTTTCACTCTGTTGCATCATCCCACCCACCAGGCATATAGAGTGCCCTGATTGGCCCACAAAGCGGATAAAGCTCTGTGATTTGTTCACTAAGCAGATAGAGCACAATGATTGGCCCACCATTATGGACCAATCACAGCTCTTTATGTGTTTGAAACCCCTCTAGAGAGCTGTGATTGGCCAGCCAGAATGCTGTTGGGGCTGCAGAGCTTCCAGTGGAGCATGCCTAGACCAAACTTTGCAAAGCAAGAATTTGGTCTAGTTCACTAGGCTAAAACTTTAGAGCACGTTCATGTTCTTCTAGTCGGAAATTCGGAGTTCCGAGGAGAAAGCGAACGCACCATTAGCGAACGGAAGCTAACATATCAAGCTAACGTTATCTTAAACATTTTATTTGCCTACTGGAGCAGATTAAGATGAGGATGTCCCATTTAGTTCGTTGTCGCTGGTTTCATCATCACCCAGTTACCCATCACATTTAGTGAAGTGGACCCAAGCTTTAGCGTGCGTTCTTTCTACCGTGCTGCTCTGTTTACAACTGGCTCGCAGCGACCGACGTAACGCTCTTGCGCATGCGCAGCTGTCTAGACAAGTTCTCGTTATGAAGGACGGGTACCGAAACGAGGCACCGTTTCAAATGACGTGAATCGGTGCTCAGTCGGTACTATGGAATTCGGTCGGTACCTTAAAAAGTATCGAAAAGTATCGATGGTTATGGCCGTCTTCCTCTTTGCCCAATCTGACCTCTTGGTTTTTATGTTTATGGTTTTTCTATCTGCCGTGACGGCTCCTTGGCTCTGCCTAAGCTGAGCTGTGATCCACTCTCAAATCTCCGTTTCTTACCTGCGTCTCAAATATAAAAGCTTCCAGGCTGTTGAGCATCTTCTCTCGCTCGTGCTTGGCCAGGTCTCGGTCCGTCAGATCCTGCAGCCTGAAGGGTTGAAAAAGCTGCTTCAGCAGATCAACTCGAGAGCACAACAAGTAAAGAGAAGAAATCTAAAAAGCACCACATTACTTCTTTTTGGAGGCGATGAGGTCATCTGCGGTGGGGTCAGGGAGGTCATTCACAACCAGCTCCACCGTCACATCTTCAGAGATCTTCATCTTTTTCTGGGTTTTTATTTTCTTCTCCGTCTCCGTGTTTCCAGCCTTCTCCTCCTCTTTCTCCTCCTTCACCAGCAGAAATACATTAATCTGAGTAAGAAAAAGCTCTTGAAGACAAACACAGGTCTGGTTACACCTGGGAGACCTTACCGGAGCCTCAGCTTTGGTTCCTGCCTCCTCACTTTTCTCCTCGATTTTCTCTTCAGTTGGATTTTTCTCCAAATCCTCTGTCTCCTTGGTAACCGTGTCCTTCTCAATGCCATTCTTGGCCTCTTTTCCAGAATCTAGAGGAACTTCTTCCTCCTCCTCCTAGACAAATAAATAAATAAACCAGAAGGATGCTTAAGATCTCAGGTGCATCTAAAAGCTTTCTCTTTGTCCACATTGTTGCACCTCAGCCTTTGTTCTAAACGGATTCTGAAAACCCTGCACACACACTATCCCATAGTAACAGGAACCTGCTCATTAGCACCACAGCTTTACTGCAACACTCCAAGCTCAGGTGCATCCTGTTTCCACAGATCATCTTCAGATGTTTTTACAACTTGACTAGAGTCCACTTGATACATGAGGACTCCAATCATGAGAAGGTCCCGTAGACCAGTGTTTCCCAGCCCTGGTCCTCAGGACACATGTTTTCCATGTTGCCCTTTCAGACACCAGTACTCCCAGCTGCCACACACTTGAATTAAACGAACGAGAGATTAACAGGCATCCGCAGCACTTGATGTGCTCCTGAGGAGGCAATGTCAATCAGGTGTGTTGAAGCACAGACATGGAAAACGTGCAGGTCAGTGTGCCCCGAGGACCAGGGTTGGGACACGGACGGACACACACACGCATGCTTCCACACACATATGCATACGTACACACACACACACACGAGGAGCTGCAGGTACAGCCGCACTCAGGAAACATTTGATGGTTCAACCCCCCCCCCCCCCCCCCCCCCAATCCAGCACGTTAATGCTGAGGGGCAAACAGGGAGGCATTGCTATGACCCGACTGTGGATTTGAACGCGCGGTCTCCAAGTCTCAGGGCAGACACTCATACTCGGGGTCAGCTGCCACTAAGCTCCCGTATCCTGCCTGGAGGTAACATTTTGCACCAGAGGAGCTCTCAGACCACGAGAAACTGAATGATCAGGACCGGTTCTGTTGGAGCAAAGAGGAAACGCATCTAAGGTGAAACGCGTCCCGTCTGGAGGACACTGGAACTACTTAAGACCAGTCCATGGTGCAACGCACGGTGGTGTCTGCACCATGCTGTAGAGACTGAGGCTAGTCGGGGTCAACGGACTGTGGAGTGGAGCTTCTGCCAACTGGAGGACAACCCACAGCCCAAACCCAGATCTGAACCTGATTCACCATCTCTGAAGAGATCTCTAGGCTGATCGAGCAGGGGGCCTTTCCCTCATTCATAACACTTTTGTAAACAATTCAAACCTTTTTACACTTTATTATTATGGGATACGTTTTAGAAAGTGCTGAGAAGATGTTCTAGAAGGTGGACAAGCGCTGCAGGAGGAGCGGCTACCTGAACAGGGTCGGTCACATTGGGAGCAGGCTCAGACGGTCCTCCTCCAAACAAGGTGGAAATTGTGTTTCCCAGTTCTGGAACACACGGAAGTGTAGGATCAGTTAGACATTTGAAATGATTGATTCGTCCCGGAGGTTCCATAGAGGTCATAGGTTACATGTATGCTAGACTCGGTTGACGACCATAAATAGAACAGTAGTGCTACAGCTAAACGTGAGTCAGTAACTGAGCAGGCTTCATCTGCTGCTGACGGACGGAGGCGCGTGCAACGATGCTGAAGTGAAAAACCTACTAGTTAAGGTGGACTCCTCTTCCTTCTCCTCCATGGTCGTCTCAAAGACAGACTCCACCTGTAGATGAAAGAGCACTTTGTTTTTGTTACTCGGCCTGTGTGGTGTGTGTGTGTGTGCGTGCGTGTGTGTGTGTAACTCACGCGGTCGAGGAGCAGCACTCCACTTTCATCCATGTTGAAATGCGCTTTGATCCCTTTGGACTCGGCGTCCGTGTGCTTCTGAAAGCTGTCGCCCACCCCGGACAGCCGGACGGTGGTCAGGTTCAGGGAGCCAAAAACTCTGCAATCAAACAACGAGCAAACGCAGAGAAGATTCAATACCCCAGACGAAGCTTCTGTTCAAGGAGGAGCTGTGAGAGGAAGGTGCAAACGTTGACCTGAGGTCAGCCTCGCTCAGGAAGCTGAGGTCTCCGTAGTTGATGTTGAATTCAAAGTCGTCGTTGTAGCGATTGAATGTGATGACTTTCCTCTGAGGGTACGGAGCCATCCTCTGGAACAGGATGCGTTTGTTGTGTTTGAAGGTCTTGATGCCCTCCTCCTCCTCCTCCATCTCCCTGGAGAACTCCACCTGACCCGACAAGACAGAGTTTACCTTCTGTAGCACTTGCTGCTTTAATCAAATGTGACACCATTTATGTAACAGCACAGCTGACTACATCATCGACAAAGGCCACTGCTGAACAGGAAGGCCACAACTTCAGGTGAGCGCACCCACCTGGATGGGGAAGATGGCTGCATCTCGGACCAGGAAAGGTTTGACCTTGAAGGCCTTGCTGAGGGCAGCAGCCTGGTACACGGCACCCATAGCTGCTGCCTCATCAGCATTGATGTTCTTCCCAAGTTCCTCTCTGCAGGTGAAAAGAGCGTGTGTGAGTGTGTGCTTCAACATATCTCCATGCTGACATAGACTACAAATCAACTTTTTAAAAAAAATCACTTTAATAAGGTAACTGAAGACAGGGGGACCTAAAAGGCGGAGCTCTAAAGAGAGGAAGTGCAGGTAGAGTGAGACTGGTGTTGGGTCAAAAAGCGTTCCTCCTCCTCTGGTGTGAGCCTGTTGCTGTGACTGTCTCCTCGCTGCTACTTTAGTTTAGTTTTTATGTTATTAATAAGCTGCTGGCAGCAAAACGGTTCAAGGTCCTCATAAAACTCTGCTTTACAAGAAGCAAGCAGTCACAGCCTTGGTGGAGGAAGAGAGTAGCATCATTAACTCATTCACTGCCAGCCGTTTGTCGAGATGAATCGTAAGCTTGGAACTTTGGCTGAGATTCAGGCTCTGGCGCAGAAGGTTGATTCGATCAAAGACAGAGTTGACGGGACGGCACGGTTGGGAATAGATTACTTTACGCCATTATTGGATTTAGACGGGTTGGAGACCAACAGAACTTTAAGACAGAGAGGAATTTATCTCTGTCTGGCCCCAAAACAAGTTCTTATCTGAATCTGGTGCCCTTGAGCCTGTGAGGAATGTGGAATGCTGCCGTTGCCATGGCAACTGTCTCCCTATCCCAGCCTGGGCGGGACTGCGACCGGTGAAGGCCGTTGAATCGTTTCCAGGAGTCACTGTGCCCTCTAACCCAAATACCTCCCTCCCCTGTCCAAACGGAGGTGACGAGTGCTGCTTATCGCAGCTGCGTGCACTGATGTGAGGAGAGTCCCCAACCCTACCCCCCCACCTAGTGGACACTTATGTTGTGTGATGTCTGAAGTCTGTTGCATTTCTGTCTGAGGTGTTTTTTGCATAGCAAAGCTGCCCTCCCTGTGGAGGGTGACTCTGAAGTGCCTTTTTTCCTCCACCTGACCCAATCCTCATTTAAACCCCTCTGATCTCTATTAAGGTAGCGCGACTCGGGTTGCAAATGACCACAGTCACCAAATCTTGTCATGTGTCTATGCCTATGTATGTATGTCTGATCTCAGAATTGTGTGTACTGAAACTCTAATTTCCCTCTGGGATTAATAAAGTATCTTTGAACTGAATTGTGGTTTCCTCTCACCTCCCCACAGCTTTGAGCAGCACTTCCTGGACCTTCGGGACCCGAGTAGAGCCACCAACTAAAATAATCTGCTCAATCTCCTCCTGTTGGTAGAAACAAAACGATCACAGTAACACCACAGACAGGGCTAGTGTGTGTGTGTGTGTGTGTGTGTGCGTGCGTTGTTTGAGGAGTACTGACCAGCTTCATCTCAGCCACTGTTAGGGCGTCCTGCACCGGGCCGGGGACCCTCTCAAACAGGTCCGCACACAGATTCTCAAACTCAGCTCTGGTCACCTTTGCTTTGAAGTCGATGTCATCCATTAAGCCCTCAACCTGGAGGGAGGAGAATGCCATCAGAAACGGGCTCCTCGTTAAGGTTAAAGCAAGAAAAGGAGGAGGCTGGACTTAAAAATCGGCATCCTGCTTTTAAAGGCAAATTTATTTATTTATTTATAAAGATTTTGAATTGATCCAACATTTAGTTACGCGAGAAGACACTTTCCAAACATTTCCTAGCTCGCTCCGTCTGTACTGTAGGACTCTAGTAAGCGACGCGTGGACTTTCACAGCGACCCACTCCTTCACATCCACCACTCACTACATCACAGACACCTGGCTGATTTCTAACCAACAGAATATAGGCGATCCTGGAAATGACTCTTTGTTAATAAAGAGTACTGAATGTGAATTGATTTGAATCGAGAACCGATTCTGAATCGAATCTTCACCTTAAGAATCAGAGTCAAATTGAATCGTGAGTTGCTGTAAGAGTCACAGCCCTGATGACAACCGAGTTTGTTGTTGTTGCGTTGCCATGTTTGCTGCTATTTGGCGCTCTCAGACTCAAACCGATCCAGGAAGTTTGGACCATCAGCTTCAGACTCGCCGACTTGATTCAGAACCAGAGAAGAATAAAAGTGATGAAAAGTGGATAAAAACCGAACCCTATATGCTGCTGTGGTTGGTCCAGGTCACTCTGCCCCAAACACACGAGGCTGTAGTCCCAATGTCTACGATGCTCTAAAAGCACGAGTGACGATTCAGAAACGTCGACTCACTCAGATTCAGACCTGATCCAAGTTGTGAAAAAATCCAGATCACTTCCAAACGACCACAAAACAAATTAAATACTTAAAGGGACTTTACAGTTTTGAATTTTTATGCTCGTGATCGCCCCCTCAGGCCAAAAGCGTAACAGCAGCTTCAATAGTAGGCTCGTGCACGAGGCGCGCATGCTGTACGTGCACACTCCTTAACAAAAATAACAGCTGAGACAGTCCCGTGTGTGTGTGTGTGTGTGTGTGTATGTGTGGCCCGGAGGACAGAGGACAGGAGAACGCGCAGCTAATTAATTAAATAATTTGGTTCTGTACCTTTCTCTTCAGCACAGCCGACAAAGGTTTATGATGGGTCAGTCCTCCTGCATGCTCAGATCATTCCCTTCCCTTGCTTGAAAAATTGTTCCAAAATGAAAGTTGAACCCACATCTTTTTTATCTGCGATTTCAATGCCGTTCGGCGAGTCTCAAATAAAAATTTGGGCAACTTAATGTAAAAAAATAATATACCATTAATGTAAAAAAGAAACTAAATGAACTATGTTCACATCCAGAATCGAACCCAGGTCCTCTGCACGAAAGTCCGACGTCTTACTAGGCGAGCTAAAGCACCAGTGGCGTTTCCTGTATCTGTAACATTTATATCCTTGACGACAGCTGAAACAACGTTCAAAGAACGGTTCGGAGGGCTATGCCTGAGCGTGAACGCGCATGAAGCAGCCTGCTCGACCCGAGCAGCTCTCTTTTTCTGTGATTTTACAGAAAAACAGGCAATCACAGTAAAATGCCAGGGATCATTCTACAGGACCAGGGCATTGCAGGAGAATGTATGAAGAAGAAATTTATTATTTCTACATGTTTTGAATGTCAAACTTCCATAACGCCCCTTTAAATATTATTTACTAGTTGTGCTGGACCTGCAGCTCAATAAGGTCTCACCTGTGCTGTGAACTCCATGTTTGCACTCAGCACCGTCTTCAGCCGCTGCGCCTCTTTGAGCAGCTTGGCCATCGCCCGGTGGTTCTCCTTCACATCTTTTGGACTCTTCTTCTGCTGATTGAAAATTTGGGCCAGGTGGTCTCGCACTCTCAGGTCCATTTCAAAGCCCCCAAGCCCAAGATCAAACCTAAAAGCAGCCTCCGTTAGCACATCACAACCCCTCTGAGCCCCACCCCGCGTGTGACTGAGCCGTTTCCCTCACCCGACTCCTCGGATCTGGAGCTGAGGCTGGGAGCCAGACTCCTTGGTTTTGACCGTCTGGTAGGTGACGATGGTGGCTGTGGTGCTGCTGGAGCCCATGTCGTAAAACATCACACTCTGAAATAGAACAGGCTCACGCTGTAATGATCAACATTCAACCAAAAACACATCATCCATCTGAACGAAGGTCAACAGCTCTGGGAGTGGGTGGGGAGGAGCAGTTACAGCTGTGGGATGATCCTCCGCCACGCTGGGGTCGGCCTATCACAACAAACTAGTTACAACAGAAAAAAACAGCTCTGTGCCACAGATTAAAGCTAGATTTGGTTTTGAAGATGAACGATAAGCTGCAGGATCCATTTCCTTTTAACCTTGGACTCTTCTACTGCTTCACACCTGCTTAACAGCAGGCGAGCGTACGGTAGTACAAGTCTGAACAGAACACAGGTGTTCTGGTCACCTTGGCTGTGCCGTCAATATCCTTCCTTCTGAAAACGCCGTAGTTCAAGGCGACGGCCGTGTTGTCGTTGATGAGCTGGAGGACCTTTAGCCCGGCCATCTGTGCAGCGTGCAGGACTGCCCTGCGCTGAGCCTGGTTGAAAAAGGCTGGGACGGTGATTACTGCATCTTTGATTGGCTGTTCTGTAAATGAGCAGGATTAATCCAGAACAGAAGAACAAAGATCAGTTCAAATCTGTTTTTAGACAGAAACGTTTTCATCTGTGAGAAAACCGACCTGCAAAGTCCTGAGCCAGTCCACGTGAATAATTGAGCACCATCCCTAGGAGCTCTTCGGGTGTGTACTGTACATCTCTATCAGAGGACACAGAAAAGGCACAGAGACATAATAATGATGTCATTTTGTCCCCCAGGTTACTGCTCTGTATTTACAGTGCATCTCTGTTGTGTGTGATAAAATATTTAAAACAGAAGGAATAGAGAGTGACCCACTCTGAGCTTTTGAAGTAAACCGTGCCTCTCACTGGGTCCTCGTGCAGCTGGTGCTCGGGGAAACGTTTCTGGTACAGCGCCACCTGGGGGCTGTCGTGCCTTTTACCCAGAAGACTTTGGAGGTGTCTGTACACCATTTTGGGATTCTTCACAGACTGAAATGATAAACACAATCAGCTCATTAGCAACAGACAGAAATAATGATTTTTGCAGGTTTGAACCATCCACGGACAGCAGGACATTTCAGAAACGGGCTGTACCACTCCTAATGCGCTGTCTCCAAAGAGTCGCTCGTTCTCCTTCAGACAAACCGCTGTGGCCGTTTTCCTTCTCGACTCCCTGAAAGAATCAATCATAAATACTTTTCTTTCACGTGACATTTGCTTTAGAACATTAGAAATCAGCACCCAGAAAAGACAATAGCAGAATTTTGTAAAGGAGGTGAATTCTCAATCCTGCTTAATATGAATGAAGGATCGGCTGATATTTCAGGTGCAACATGAAAAGCTCACCTGTTGAGAACGATCTCCATCGGCACACCTGGCTTTACTATGGCCATCTTCATCCACTCACTGCCGAGGTCCACAGACATGACAGCAACAGTCACTGTGAACAGTAAGGTGTTTCATGAGGCTGGAAAAGGTCACAGGTGTCACCATCTTTGCTTCTCACCAGACTTCTAAAGGACCATCACCTGTGTAAGAAGGCAGCAAAGCCAGAACCAGGCAGGCAAGAGCAGCCCGTATCAGGTTCCTTCCAACCATGATGAGCTGTGAAGGTGAACATATCAATCATTTATCACTCAGTGGTTCAAATCGCCAACCAGAAAACAGCACAGTTATATTTTTGCCAGTCTTAAAACTTCTAAACAGTCTCATGGATTTTGCATACAAAGATGATAAAGATCTCCTGAACCTCTCAGATCAGTCTTTGTTCCATCTGAAGTAGCTCTTGCTGTTCTCCAGCTCACTTTTTAAGTGAAACTAGGATAATAATCTCTCTTTGACACTAATATTTATGGTAATTATAATTAAACTTACAGAACAATTGAATCACATCACTTTCTCGTTTATCACAAGGCAGCATCATCAGCAGACACAGCGTTAGCTACGCTATGCTAACAACTGCTAATAATGCCAACATCACAACAATGTTATAAATGTACATTACAAAAAGTCCTGAACAGAACACAGCTAGAAAATATCAAGTAAACATCTTTAGCATCAGCTTCTTTCTTCCTAAAATGAACCTGATCATAGGGATGTGATCAGGCTCAGATGTGTCACACCAAACCGGCCTGGGTGGAAACAGCCCTGAACATGATAACATTTTATCTGTTATTATGGGCAGATAACATGTGGCAAAGCTAATGTCACATTGGATCATACATCATTTGACATAATATCACCAACCATGACACTGCATGCTTAAAGTCTGAGAAGTCTAATTTTAAATTACAACATGACCTCCTGCAGGATCAGCGAGCAACTGGCAGGTAAAGTTCACCTGTTCTCTCTCAGGTGTAGTCAGGTACCAAAGCAGCAGGCTTTACTTCACTGTTGGCTTAAGTTAAACATCAACAACGAACCAATCTGATCGAGACCAGCAGAGAAACACATGCCGGCTTTAGCTAACCAGATTTCCAATTCAGGCAAAATCAGCATCCTGCACCCGAATGAATCAGCGAGGGAGCGATTTGAGGCACAACATAAATAAAAACAACTCTTATAGTTTACTGTATTTGTGTTTACAAAGAAGTTCTATCAAGCTTCTAGAAACTACCAGCATGTACTCACTGAAGCGGTTTCTTAAATCATCTGAGGGTTAAACTCAACTAGTTTTAGCATAATGCTAAAACTAGTTGAGTTAATTATTTCAAAAACAAACTGGCACTTCATTAAGAATAAGCTAATATAATTAAGCTAAAATAAAAAAGCACAATTAGAGGCTGCCAGTCATTAGCTTGCATCTATTTCAATCCCAGAACACATTACATTGATTCCTTCAGCTGGACCCGTGCAGTTCCCACCGGACTGGACGTTTTACGGGAGTTTACCGAACAGCTTACGGTCTTGATGTTCCGGTTCCTGGTGGTTCTGGTCCTTTTTCAGCGGCTAGACGGCAGCGGACAGGCCCGGAACGCGGCGTCACCTCATTGGATCAACTAAGCATGCTACAAAGAGCTGCTGTCAAGTGTTTTAAAACAAAGCATGCTGGTTCCGGGTTTGATTACAAAATAAGAGCATTCTATAGCATCCAAAAATATTAGAAAGCAGATGTTTTTAACAGAGCATCACAGGAAAGAGAGAACCTCTTCGAAATATTTCATAATGACAAAACATACAACTTGACTTTAAATTAATTGGTTTATTCGGAAAGTAGATTTCTTACCTGCCCTTGTTGTGAAAGAACCACAATGTGGCTTCCGTTTAGCGGCTAGTCCGCCTTCAGGATCCACCTACTTTATCCACGCACTGCCGCATAATTGGTCCACGTGAGTTGAGCACTCGCATTTACTCTTGGTTGAATCCAATTGGTCCACGTCCAAATACTGGGCATGAAACACGTTACGTCATTTCCAGGTGAAGCCCAATCTGTCCAAAAACCATTACAGGGATCCAGCTATTAATATTTAATATATAGCATGCTGACAAATATTAATTGTTACAGTGAAGGTTCTCTTTATAGCGGACCACAGACGGACACAACAGGTGTTTCTCTGATCTGGCTTTTTAAGATTACAATGTTTGTTGCTGAAAACTTCACCGTCAGAAAAATAACATTGCTGAAAACCAATGAGATAATAAAAGGAGCAGAACTAAATCATGACCATGTCTGTGTGTATCTATAATCATGGGCATGCACGACTGTACAATTATTAGGTTTGATTTCTAAACTGCTCATTTCCAGGTGGAAGGTTATACATCACTGTGCAGCTTCAATTACTTTTGAGTACATGGTAGATATTGTGTCTCTTACTGCAGGTTCAAAAATAAACATACATCCTACAATCTGGGTTAAAGGCCCTTAGCATGTTGCACATCTACCTAGCACGTTTATGGACACAAACAAGCATTTGCCATCTTTCTAGCTTAACATTAGATCACATTTCATGACAGACAAACCCAACTGTGCTCCAGTTTTAACCATCTCTAAATTATAAGTATTTACAGGTGAGTTCGAAAAATTTGGAAGAAAATTTTCACTTTTTATTTATGAAAATTACATGATTTTGTATGCTGATGGTGGGATATTTTGTACATAGATTTCCCCTTATGAAACTGACGGAGAAAAAAAAAACATAAAAAAGGAGAGTTATGTTGACATCTTCTTTCATCTTTGTGCACATGCGCGAGTGGCCGTGAGGACTAAAACTGTGAAGTAATACCAGCTTTGAACAGAAGGGGCAGCAGTTCCCTGTCGCTGCATTTACCCCAAAAAAGAAGAACTGTCACCTGACAGCTCCTTGTTATGCTAGCAAAATGGCTGCGTTTCTGCAGTGGAGAAAATTTGTTTTCTTTGATAAAGATATTGTGAAAGATCCCACCGACAGTGGGAAAAACTTTACTCTTCCTAAAGGAATACTGGCGACTGACTCCGGCCGGGGTCATGTTGTTCTCGGAGATATCCTTTAAGTGCGGCGTCTGAGTTAAGATTGCTAGCAGCTGACGCTAATCTAAACTCGGCCAATAAAAACAAACGCCATAGGTAATTCAGAACGTGTTAGAAAGTATTTATTTAATTTAAAGGTATATAAGTGGAATTTTTCACTGTGTTAAGATGGCCTTGCTAACTCATCCCTGCTTGAGATGTTGGAACAGTTCTTAGCCTTAACAGAGCTACATATGGAAGGGAGGATCTGGCTGTTGACTCGATCCCTGCAGCTGGTGTCCTTTCAGGCCTACAAACTTCGGGTGACCCACCTGTTCCAGCTTAAACAGCACAGTATTCTGGTGTCAGTGGGCCAGGATGAGCATGGAATAAACCCTCTAGTAAGTCCTCTCCTAAACAAAGCACTGCTTCTGACCACTGGCCATGCTGAACATGAACATATTCATTTTATAATATGTAGAGCTCTTGATGAAACTGTCAAACGGACTAAAACTAATATGTTAAATGTGGAACTCTGTACTTTATTTTAAACGTAACTAATTTCTCAGTAGAGAAAAATTTTGTGTTGAAAGTGATTCAACAGAAGTGATTCAGGGTTGATCTCTAACATGTAAGTATGAAACCCTGACCAAACCGAGTGTGCGTTCTACTTTCTAGGTGAAAGTCTGGAACTTGGAAAAGAGAGACGGTGGAAATCCGCTGTGCACCAGGATTTTTCCTGCAATTCCTGGCAACAGACCTACTGAAGTGTCTTGTCTCAGTGTAAATGAGAACCTTAACTTCATGGCCATTGGTAAGACAGGTCTGCCTGTCCACAAACCAGTAACCACTTCCACAGAAAGGTTTTCCCTCCCAGTTCATGAGCTGTTTGTTGGTTTCTTGACAGGCTTCACAGATGGCAGTGTGGTTCTGACCAAAGGTGACATCACCAGAGATCGTCACAGTAAAACTCTGAATCTGCACGAGGGCAGCAGCCCAGTCACTGGGCTTGCCTTCCGGCAAATAGCAAAACTTACACATTTGTTTGTCGCCACTCTGGAGAAAGTCTTTGTAAGTCTGCTCTCTGCTTAAGCACTGGAGTGTTTTCAGACATTAGGCATTTGTGAAGTCAAATAGCAAGTTTTTAAGAGTAATCTGCTCTCTTTGTGTCTTCTTCTTTTAGTGCTACACTTTGTCCATGAAGGAGTATCCTAAAGTAGAGCTGGATACACATGGCTGTGCTTTATGCTGCTCGTCCCTGGCAGATCCTTCCCAGGATTCCCAGTTCATTGTAGCCGGCGATGAGTGTGTGTACCTGTACCAACCTGATGAACGAGGGCCCTGCTTTGCTTTTGATGGTCATAAGCTGTTGGCCCACTGGCACCGTGGATATTTGTTCTTACTCATCAAACATGTGAAGTCACCCAACAAGTAAGAGCAGGTGTTAGTAAGCACAACTGATCCTGTAGATGTTTCCATGATGAATTAATATGATAAATGACCTGCACCCGTATAGCCCCTTTCTGACTCTGAAGTCAGTCTTTCACACACACGCACGCACGCACGCACGCACGCACGCACACACACACACACACACACACACACACACACACACACACACACACACACACACACACACACACACACACACACACACATTTTATCTAAGGTATTTCTTAAAGTGCGAGTAAAACCGAAAACAACTTTTTGTGCTGATAACCTGCATGTATAACTCAGCTTACTTAAAATATAATATTTTAGCCCAAAACCATAATGGCGCTCTCTCGGTCCTCCAGGTGACACCACTGACATGTTTGTTGTTAACCCAGAACAGGGTTTGGCAGCGGGGGGAGCTCCCAGTCAGAGAAACAGCTGTTAACCATCTACGACTTGGACAACAAGTTCATCGCCTACAGTGCTTCTTTTGATGACGTCATCGACGTGGTGGCTGAGTGGGGCTCGTTCTACATTCTGACCAGAGATGGAAAAATGTTTGTTCTCCAAGAGAAAGACACTCAGACCAAACTGGAGGTTAGTTCCCGAGGATGAGTCTCTTCTGCGTTGCCTAGATCCCCATCGATGAAAGTTGAACACTCACCAGCAAATGTTACTCCAGGAAGAGCAATCTGTAGTCACTGAGTCGTTAGAAAACTGCAGTTGAGACTAAAACGGACCTTTTAAAACTTTTTTACAAATTATAACAACTCATGAAGGCTTTTTGCATAAAATCCCTCTCACACAACAATCTCACCAACTCTGTCCTTGACATTTTCAGGGCCTTCCAGAATGAGCCATTTTAGGGCTCTGTCACTTTAAGGGAGTCAAGCTGTTGCTGGCCACACCCACCCACCCCCTGATGAGCTGGCCTTTTTTTTTTAATATCTTCATTAGGCTGTTTTGGGTGTTTATCACATGTGAAAATGGGAAATCATCGACCAACGTGACACACAGAGTAGGTACAGCACCCTCCGTCAGCAGACGTTTGCTGGCTAGTCCTGCTCCGCGATGTCCGAGGTTGAAAATGGCATCCTGACACAATCCGAACCACTCAGCGGAAACGAAGAACCTCAAGGTGGTTTTCACACGCAAAAGATTTTTGCCGAGTGTTGCTGGGAGCTCCGGTTCTATGGAACTAGGATTGGGACACTATTACATTTAACTTGTACCAAGTTTTGTGACTTTTAACATGTTTTGTAATTGTGACTTTTGTTTTGTAGCATGCAATTCGACGTGGGGTGACGGTGGCACAGGAGTTAAGTGCTCGCCCCATAATCGGAAGGTTGCAGGTTCGAGCCCCGCTCAGTCTGTCGCTGTCGTTGTGTCCTTGGGCAAGACACTTAACCCACGTTGCCTGCTGGTGGTGGTCGGAGGGATCGGTGGCGCCAGTGCTCGGCAGCCTCGCCTCTGTCAGTGCGCCCCAGGGCAGCTGTGGCTACATTGTAGCTCATCCCCACCAGCGTGTGAATGTGTGTGTGAATGGGTGAATGACTGGTTGTGTTGTAAAGCGCCTTGGGGGGTTTCAGGACTCTAGAAGGCGCTATATCAAATACAGGCCATTTACTATTTAATTCACATTTTGTAACACGTAACTTCAGTACATAACATGAAACTTTTATTTAGTAACTTGCAGAAAACAATCATTGTACAAGTTTTAAATCACAACTTTCAAAACACAAATCTCAGTCTACAGTTACAAGTCTCAAGTCTACAAGTACAAAACACTTTGTCCCAATTCTAGCTTGCTTCCAACAGGAAATGTCTTGGACAGGAATCTAAGACTCACGATTGGCTGCTCAGACAAGGCCTGTCATTGGTTCTTTGGGAAGGAAGCTAGAATTGGGACTAAATGCTTTTTTACTTGTAGACTTGAGTTTTGTAACTGTAGACTGAGATGTGTGTTTTGAGAGTTGTGATTAGAAACTTTTACATTGATTGTTTTCTGCAAGTTACTAAATAAAAGTTTCATGTTATGTACTGAAGTTACCTGTTGCAAAATGTGAATTACAAGTTACAAAATGAAAGTTACAGTTAAAAAACATGTTAAAGGTTACAAAGCTTGGTACAAGTTACATGTAATATTGTCCCAATCCGAGTCCCATACGGTTCGTGTGCTAGTGAGTGGAGTCGGGTTGTAGGGGTAGCAGTTTAGGAGAGAGAAGCAAACGCCAACCCCTCTGGGGAAATCCTCGGGTATTCCCAGGCCAGCAGAGAGAAACGGTCCCTCCAGCATGTCTTGTCTGTGACTTAGTAAAAATGTTGCATCCTAACAATTTTGTTGGGTGGGGACTCAACAGGTGAAGAGGGTTCTATGCAAGTTAAACTTTTTGTGAGGAAACAATCACGCTTATAGAGTATTACAGGTCCCTTTTAAACCCCCAGACCACAGTTACAGATACGTTATTTCTTTTTTGTCTTTGAAGATGTTGTTTAGGAAGAACCTGTTTGTGATGGCCATAAACCTGGCCAAGAGCCAGCACCTGGACAGCGATGGACTCTCAGAGATCTTTCGACAGTATGGTGATCATCTGTACCTAAAAGGAGATCATGACGGAGCCATCCAGCAGTACATTCGGTAAATCCATCATGAGCTCCCATAGCTGCCGATTGGACCCTGATGTTAAATTACCTAACAGTCATTTTTCATGTGTGCGTTTCCACCCTGTCATGGTGTTGGGTATCAATGGCTTTGTGGTCTCAGATCAGTGATTCCACTTTTCCCTCCAGCACCATTGGGAAGTTGGAGCCTTCATATGTCATCAGAAAGTTCTTGGACGCACAGAGGATCCACAACCTGACTGCTTATCTGCAGGCCCTTCACAGGCAGTCCCTGGCCAATGCAGACCACACCACGCTGCTGCTCAACTGTTACACCAAGCTGAAGGACAGCTCCAAGCTGGAAGAGTTCATTAAGGCGAGCTCTGAGAAGCATGAAGGACACCTGGCTTTGATTACCACAGAGGAGTGAATCTGACCGCTCCTTCAGGGCTACCTGTTTGCCGTTGTTGACCTCATTATGTCTGTGTCTTTCTTACAACAGAGCAGTGAAAGTGAGGTCCACTTTGATGTTGAAATTGCCATCAAGGTTCTTCGTCAGGCTGGTTACCACAGCCACGCCGTGTTCTTGGCTGAAAGGCACCAGCACCATGAGTGGTACCTGAAAATCCAGCTGGAGGACCTCAAGGTAAACTCATGGGTTCTAGATGTGGAAACCTTTGTGAGGTTTGTTGACATGGTCATGCTGGGCTGCTGAGGGAACACATATGTTGTGATTCAATTTAAATGAAAAGCAATGATGGGTGTTTCGACCACGTCAGTCATGTACTTTGAGATTTATCAGCTTGTAAAAGTTCGTAATTAGCATGACTACAAACTAGAAATCGGGACGTTGTGACATCACCACATTATCTCCTCTCCCTAAGGTAGCTGCTACTTGCCACATGACCAGATTTATGGTGGTTCTTTCTTCCTGTGGGAAGTTTGCTGAACTTACAGCCCTTTTCCCCTCAGTTTTCTCCGTGTCTGGTTCGATGACGTCACTTTCGTGAAGCGCATTTGTAGTCCTGGACTTATTTTCACACAAAACCTAAAATATCGTTCCCCCGTTTGAAAATAAGCATGCTTTTGGTATCAAAATGCACCTTTAAAATTCACAGACATTATATGTGAAATCCATGGCACAAAACACGCGGAATAAGAAAATAGCGTTTTTAGCCCCGTTGACTTGCATTAATTTTTTCGTTCTTCCGGGAACCCGTGGTCAGGAAGTGACTTAGGCTCCCTATGGTGTTGCAATTCTCCTGTGATTACGTGGCATCACGGGATCAGCTGTGTGGAACGTTTTTGCTTCAGTTTCGCGTCAGAATTGCTCCCGGTTGGGAACGAGCTCGTGGGTAGAACGCCGCTATTACACGATCGCTTTCACGGCCAGTGGAAAGCCGGGGTCATACTTGTTCTTCCGGTTGGTAACAAGATGGCGCCTGTGCTTGGATTAGCTGCGGTCACCAGCCACTTTTTCAAAAAGCAGCAGAAAACTCGCCTGTGCAAGCTGGCTCCCTCTCCTTATTCTGCTCTTATTCCGCCTTTCCCAGGATCCACTGATTTCCGTCTTTGCTATTCATTTTCTTTCCCTTTCCTTACATTTTTCCTAATCACAATTTTTATTTATTTATTATTTCATTTTAAACATATTCTTAATAATTTTAAAAAATCATTTTATACTTTATTTTTTTTTGTAATTTTTTTTGTTATTTTTGTGAAGTGCCTCGTGATTTTTATCTTGAGAGGCGCTAAATAAAAGACAGTTCTTTCTTTCAAATTTTCCTTCTACCAACCTCCTCCTCTCTGACTCGCTTTTGTCTGCGATCCTCCTTGGAAGTGTCCCGACTACCATCTCCTATGATTGCCAGACTCTTTTGTGCTTCGATGTCCTGCGATCGCCAAAGACGTGATTTTTATCTTGAAAGGCGCTATAGAAAAGATTGTTTTCTTTCTTTCTGAAATATGATTGGTCACTCTGAGTGGCACATGCAGGATGAATGTGTAAACATTTCTTCAACTCCCCCTTGCCTGCATCAGATGCAGAAGGGAAAACATCACAGCTAACATTAGCAATCATGGCCCCACCCACCTCGGTCGTGACCGCCGACAGGAAGGAGATAGGAGAGCGCCTCTCAGCTAGTTGAAGCTGCCTATTAGCACCTCTATAACATGGCGGAACATGTTCAGACTTTTGTTATTTGCTTAAAAACTATTATTTAAATTCAACATACAGTTAAAACACCATATAGGTGATTTGTGAACCAGTGACTCTGAATTCAGAGGTTAAATGGTGCTTCCAGCGCAGAGGTCTTAGCTTGTCTGAAATCTTTATAATTTCAAGACTTTAACAAACAGGAAGAATATCATGTGTGTTAGACTAAATGAAATGTTAAATTGCCCCTTAGACTTGGTGTGTGCGTGACTGTTTGTCCTCCATGTGTATTTTTGCGGTGGCCCTGCTGTTTCCTGCCTCCCCTCACCAGCTGACTGCTGGTGTTTGAACCCCTGCGGGACACTGACCAACATTAGGCAGATGTGAGTGATTAAGTGTTTCTTTCATGTCCTCTTTCCCTCTGAAACCCAGAATTATCAGGAAGGGTTGCGTTACATTGGTCGTCTGCCTTTCGAACAAGCTGAAATCAACATGAAGCATTATGGCAAGACGCTTATGCACCACGTTCCTGAAGGTACAACACTGCTCCTTAAGGGTTTGTGCACCAACTACCAGTCCAGCGGAGACGGCTCTGAGAAAGTTGGTTTGGACAGGATCAAGGCTAACAAGGTCAATTAGTGATACTGTTATTATCTGTCTGAATATTCTCACAAATGACTGATTGAATTAACTTGGATTTCAGGCAAATTCAGAAGAATTTATCCCAATTTTCGCCAATAACCCACGAGAGCTGAAAGCCTTTCTGGAGCACATGATCAAGGTTGACCCCCACTCTTCACAGGGTGTATATGACACACTGTTGGAGCTCCGACTGCAGGACTGGGCACACGAGCAAGACCCCGAGGTCAGTATAAAACACAAAGGGTTTACAGTGCTATCATTTTTGGTTTGTTAAATGGCATTTTATGGATTTTCAAAAAACAGAAACCTTGTAAAAAATCAAAGTCTTAAAAATTGATTTCCATATATTTGCCATATGAAAATCAAGCTTCTGTAAGCCATCTGTCCTAAGAACATCTTGGGGTCCCCCAGGAAGAGTTGGAGAGGGATGTCTGGATTTCCCCGTTGTTCTCCTGTTATACCTCTTCAACCTGATGAGTGACAGAAAATTTGGATTGTTTTTCATCCATTTGTTTTGCAGAGGAAAAACATCCTCCAGGGGGAGGCTTTGTCACTTCTGAGAAGTGACAACACCGTGTTTGATAAGGCCCTGGTTCTTTGCCAGATGCACAACTTTAAAGAAGGCATCCTTTACCTTTACGAAAAAGGCAAACTGTAAGTAAAACCTCAGAGACTTTGCATGTAACTAAGTTAATGTTATGATGTAACATCTACAGCTTCAGTGTTGCCCCGAAGATTCAACATAAACAAGACTGTTCAGATTGATCGGATCTTAACTTTTAAGGATGAATACTAATTTATTTATTATGTAATAAATTGCCTACATTTGCAAAGAGACAACTCAAGAAAGACATTATGCTCATCAGTGCCCTCACACTCAGAGACCCTTCTTGTGATAAGTATGTTGTTGTTTGCATGCAGGTAGGAAGCTTTTGTTGTGAAATCCTGGTTTTTAAGGAAGCAACATATAGCTTGTATGAGCAATTTAAATCTGCAAAAGTAAATTATGTGAGGGATCAGACAAAGCATAGCCCGCAGACCCCTTATGACGACAAATATCAATGGAAACAGTGTTTCCTTGCCTGGACTCACGTCACCAACCTCCATCTAGAGCCAGGCCTGGAGAAGAGGCACATCAGCAAGCGCCGGGTGGTCAGGCTATCACTCATTGAGCCTGGCTGGACACAGCCAGAAGAAGAAACCTGGGTCCTCCTTCCCAAGGGCTCACCACTTGTGGGAGGGGCCAAAGGGGTCGGGTGCAATGTGTGATGGGTGGTAGCCGAAGAAGGGGACATTGGCAGTTAGATCCTTGGCTAAAGAAGCTGGCTCTCGGTATGTGGAATGTCATCTCTCTGGTAGGGAAGGAGCCTAAGTTGGTGTACGAGGTTGAGAGGTTCCGACTAGATATTGTCGGACTCACCTTGACACATGGCTCTGGCTCTGGAACCAATTTCCTTGAGAGGAGCTGGACACTCTGGAGTTGCCCCTACTGAGGCACTGAGCAGGGGTGGGCACTGGGCATACGTGTTGCCCCCTTTCTTGGTGCCTGTACGGTGGGGTATACACCAGTAAGAGAGTAGCCACCCTCTACCTATGTGTGAGGGGGCCGGGTCCTGACTGTTGTCTGTGCTTATGCACCGGACTACAGTTCGGACTACCCACCCTTTTTGGAGTCTTTGGAGGAGGTGCTTAACAGCGCTCTTTCTGGTGACTCCCTTGTTCTGCTGGGGGACTTAAATGCTCACGTGGGCAATGACAGTGAGACCTGGAGAGTTGTGGTGGGGAGGAATGGCCCCCCTGATCTGAATTTGAGCAGTGTTTTGTTATTGGACTTTTGTGCTAGTCATGGATTGTCCATAATGAACAACATGTTCAGACATAAAGGTGTTCATATGTGCTCTTGGCACCTGGATACCTTGGGTTTCAACTCGATGATCGACTTTGTTGTCATTTCATCTGATCTGCGGCCACATGTCTTGGACACTCAGGTGAAGAGAGGGGAAAAACTATCAACTGGTGCCGAGTTGGCTTTGATGGTGGGGTCCCCCTATTTAAAAAGGGGGTCTGCGGCATGTGTTCCGACTACAGGGGGATCACACTCCCGAGCCTCCCTGATGAAGTCTATTCTGGGGTTCTGGAGAGGAGGGTCTGACAGATTGTCGAACTTCGGATTCAGGAAGAGCAATGAGGTTTTTGTCCTGGCTGTGGAACACTGGACCAGTTCTATGCCGTTAGGGGGGTTCTGGAGGGTGCGTGGGAGTTTGCAAAACCATTCTACATGTATTTTGTGGAAATGGAGAAGGCGTTAGTTCACATTCTGCGGGAGGTCCTTTGGATGGTACTCCGGGAATATAGGGTACCAAGCTCTCTGATACGGGCCGTTAGGTCTCTGTATGACCGGTGTCAGAGCTTGACGGCAGTAAGTCAGGCTTGTTTCCAGTGAGAGTTGGACTTCGCCAAGGCTGCCCTTTGTCACAGATTCTGTTCATAAATTTTATGGACAGGATTTCTAGGGTCAGCCAATGTGTACAGGGGATTCGTTTTGGTGGCTTAAGGGTTGAGTCTCTGCTTTTTGCAGACGATGTGGTCCTGTTGCCTTCAACAGAATTTGATCTCTGGCTCTCACTGGAGCAGTTCGCAGCCAAGTGTGAAGCAGCTGAGATAAGAACCAGCTCTTCTAAATCTGAGATCATGGTCTTGAGTTGGAAAATGGTAGAATTCTCTCTTTGGGTCAGGGATGAGGTCCTGCCCCAGTGGAGGCATTTCAGGGTCATGTTCACAAGTGAGGGAAAGATAAAACACAAGATCGACAGGTAAATTAGTGCTGTGTCTGCATTGAAGCAGGTGTTGTACGGATCTATTGAGAGAGCTGAGCCGAAAGGCAAAGCTCTCAATTTACTGGTCGATCTACGTTCCAACCCTTACCTATGGTCATGAGCTTTGGGTAGTGAGGGTAAGAACGAGATTGCGGATACAAGCGGCCGACATGAGTTTTCACCGCAGGGTGTCTGGGCTCTCTTAGAGATAAGGTGAAAAGCTTGGTGATCCGGGAGGAACTCAGAATAGACCCGCTGCTCCTCCGCATTGAGAGTCGCCAGTTGAGGTGGCTTGGGCATCTGGTTAGGATACCTCCTGGATGCGTCTCTGGTAAGGTTTTCCGTGGTGCTCCACAGTCTGAACACATTTTACTGGCGCACTAAGTGGTGATTATTATGTGAAGTGCCTTGAGACGACTCTTGTCGTGATTTGGTGCTATATAAATAAACTTGAATTGAAGTGAATTGATTTAGGTGCTGTGAAGGAAAATAGAGAAACCAGCAAAGACACAATCCATTGTAATAGGCAGAAATGGGCCTAAGTTTGGGATGAAGAGTTAAACTACGTGCAGAATTGCTAATGCTAGGCTTGCGGGTAGCATTATCACAAGCAAGTGTGGTTCAGAAAAAAAATGTGATTGTTGTGAACGACTAAACTACAAGCAGAAGAAAAGTTGTCATCATCCCTTTTATATTTGGATGTCTGCAGCGGGGTGGGGCAGAGCCGCTGCAGCTACCTGAAGGCTGGTTGATGTTACTAGTCTGCTCCATCTGCTGCTGAAGTCTTTGGCAAGCAGTTGTAGCATGTAATTGACAAACGGTTTTAAATTTGAATACAATTTAGAATACATTATGTTGCCAACCCGTATATATACCACAGGTACATTGTTACCAGTAGAAATTAAATGTTATTAGCATTTCCAGCAGCTTACTACTGAACATACAGGTGCTGGCCAGTAAATTAGAATATCATCAAAGGGTTGAAAATATTTCAGTAATTCCATTCAAAACGTGAAACTTGTACATTATATTCATGCAATGCACACAGACCAATGTATTTCCAATGTTCATTACATTTAAATTTGATATTCATAAGTGACAACTAATGAAAACTCCAAATTTGGTATCTCAAAAAATTAGAATATTCTGAAAAGGCTGAATATAGAAGACACCTGCTGCCACTCTAATCAGCTGATTTACTCAAAACACCTGCAAAGGCCTTTAAAAGGTCCCTCAGTCTTGTTTTGAAGGCACCACAATCATGGGGAAGACTTCTGACTTAACAGCTGTCCAAAAGACAATCATTGACACCTTGCACAAGGAGGGCAAGACACAAAAGGTGATTGCTAAAGAAGCTGGCTGTTCGCAGAGCTCTGTGTCCAAGCACATTAACAGACAGGCGAAGGGACGGAAAAAATGTGGTAGAAAAAAGTGTACAAGCTCTAGGGATAACCGCACCCTGCAGAGAATTGTGACGACAAACCCATTCAAAAATGTGGGGGAGATCCACAAAGAGTGGACTGCAGCTGGAGTCAGCGCTTCAAGAACCACCACGAGGAGACTCATGAAAGACATGGGATTCAGGTGTCGCATTCCGTGTGTCAAGCCACTCTTGAACATGAAACAGCGCAAGAAGCGTCTCGCCTGGGCCAAGGACAAAAAGGACTGGACTGATGCTGAGTGGTCCAAAGTTATGTTTTCTGATGAAAGCAAGTTCTGCATTTCCTTTGGAAATCAAGGACCCAGAGTCTGGAGGAAGAGCGGAGAAGCACAGAATCCACGTTGCATGAGGTCCAGTGTAAAGTTTCCACCGTCAGTGATGGTGTGGGGTGCCATGTCATCTGCCGGTGTTGGCCCACTCTGTTTCCTGAGGTCCAGGGTCAATGCAGCCGTCTACCAGGAAGTTTTAGAGCACTTCATGCTTCCTGCTGCTGACCAACTTTATGGGGATGCAGACTTCACCTTTCAACAGGACTTGGCACCTGCACACAGTGCCAAAACCACCAGCACCTGGTTCAAGGACCATGGTATCCCTGTCCTTGATTGGCCAGCAAACTCGCCTGACCTTAACCCCATAGAAAATCTATGGGGTATTGTGAAGCGGAGGATGCAATACGCTAGACCCAACAATGCAGAGGAGCTGAAGACGACTATCAGAGCAACCTGGGCTCTCATAACACCTGAGCAGTGCCACAGACTGATCGAGTCCATGCCACGCCGCATTACTGCAGTTATTGAGGCAAAAGGAGCCCCGACTAAGTATTGAGTGCTATACATGCACATTCTTTTCATGTTCATTCTTTTCAGTTGGCCAACATTAGAGAAACAAACATTTTTTCATTGGCCTTTAGAATATTCTAATTTTCTGAGATACCAGATTTGATGTTTTCATTGGTTGTCACCTATAAATATCAAAATTAAACGTAATAAACATCGGAAATACATTGGTCTGTGTGCATTGCATGAATATAATGTACAAGTTTCACGTTTTGAATGGAATTACTGAAATATTTTCAACCTTTTGATGATATTCTAATTTACTGGCCAGCACCTGTATTAATGAAACAATTAAATTCTACTGGTTGTATGTGACTATATTTAGATATGTAATTTTGACTAGGATGGGTGATATGAATACAAACATAAAATGTGAAAGAAATGTAGGTTAAATGTTGTACCATAAAATATTTATTAAAAATAAATATCAGCTGAAAAAGAAGGAACTAGACTTCAATTTAATACATATTACTGAGCCTTTTATAATTTAGCGGTTTGATTTTCATATTTTTAGCAGCAGACTACAGTCTTGTTTCACGTGAAATGTCGTCAAATAGGATACTCGATTAATCGATGGAGGATTCGATAGAATACTCGAATACTAAAGTATTCGATAGCTGCTGTAGTTCCAACTGTAATAACTGTATCATATATTGTGCATACCATTGCGCTGGAAGGTGTACGATTGTATGATATGGCCACTTCAGGATTTTGCTTAACTTTCACCATTCAGTATGTATTGTTCAGGATTCAGATCACGAAAGCCCACCAGACCTGTCTTACTTTTGAAGATGCCAGTTACTTTTTGTAGAAAACCTTTAGTATTTGTCTAACACAACATATTTAAACATATTGTTAAAAACATCTAGCTCCCCCAAATGTCACAAAATTCAGACAATTTCACGATTTCCGTTCATGTGCAGGTACCAGCAAATTATGCACCACCATATGCAGAATGAGGAGTATGGAAAAGTGGTCCAGGCTTGCAAACATTATGGCGACCAGGAAGGCTGCCTTTGGGAGCAGGCCCTGGGATATTTTGCCAGAAAGGAAGAGGACTGTAAGGCCTACATCAGTGAGGTCCTACAGCACATCGATCAGAAAAACCTGATGCCTCCATTACTCGGTGAGCTGGGAGACACTTTCAGCCTATAAAGGAACAAAGTAGCAGCTTTACTGTCCAGCTTTTGTGTGTTTAATTTTTTTTTGTTGGACAAGAATATTTTTAATGAGTTCTAACACAAGGTATAAACATAATACATTCAGTAGCTTATTGGAAAATTTCTCACACCAATACAGATGAAACAGGAAAAATGAGAATACTGTGCAAAAGCCCATTTCTTACGAGACCATCTAAAGGCTCAGGATCCCTTTGCAGGTGTTCTGGATTCATTAGCTGAGCAGACTGTGACACTTAGAATCGAGAATATTCCATTTGGATGGGATGAGTCTGTCGCAAAGATTAGTTTAATCTTTTAGGTCGAATTAGTGACATAAATGAACTTTTGCTCCATATTATAATTTTTCCAGTTTCACCTGTAGCTAATGGCTTAACTTAAGAGCAAACATCTCTGATTGCTGTATTAGCGAGGGGTAGGGTGTGTGTTTGTGTGTGTGCGTATCTCCGATCGCTTTGACCCCTACTGCACACTGGAAGTAAAAGTGGTGTGGAACTGCAGCGAAACGGCACCGCTTCAAGTAGAATCCATTATAGTCTATGGAGTGTAATAAACCAGCCTCAGCGCAGCAATTTTCTGAAGCTGCACGGCAAACCGCGCTGCTACAGATAGGATCGGGTTCTATTTTTTTCTGCGAGCTGCTTCTGGAATGCGTCAATAGCCGCAATTGATGTAGGGCTAGACAGGAAATCACACGCGGTTTCAGTGTAAAATCCCCGGTAATTTTCAAAATATAAGTATTGCAGTGATGTAAGTTCATATATATATGAAGCTTACGTGGGACCTAATGGCTTATTTACTCACAGCATCGTTCCAGAAGTACAGCGGTGTGTTTTCATGGCATTCATCCTGGCAGTGGAGAGGAACAACAGCATATATGACATCAAATGGCCATTATCAAAAATGTGTCCTTCTTTTCGGGTTAAAGAGACGATGTGTAGTTTTTATCGTTAATCTCTGGAAATATCAATCGAAAAATTGCTGAAAATGAATTAAATGATGCCCAGTTGTTGAAAAATATTGGTGGCTTTGTACCATATAACCCAAAAAAAAATCAGGTCTAAAATACATGGGAGCGGGTCTAAGTCTCTGGGCGACGCCATATTAAATGCCATGTTTCCTTCTATGGGAGCCTGTGAGGACAAAATGCATTGAAACGGTTACAAAATTTTCACCATTCAAAAATGTTGTTGTTTTACACATTGTAATGATAATAGAGGGTAAATTGGATTAAATAAATAGCTTTAAGCTATTTATTATTATTACCACTATTTGGGACCAATAGCTGTGATAATCTATATAAATATAGATTATCCCCTGCTTGGTCTTAAGATGATTAGGCAGAAGATTCTAGGACTCTTTGTTTATTCAGGGATTGTACACACTTCGCTTTTATTCAAGAAATGGTCAGGTTTATAAGCAAAATAAGAATTTATTTTACAAACCATTAATACTTGACAAATTGGATGGAAAGAATTTGGTTTGCATAGAAGCTGTAAGATGTTATCAGAACCACATTCAGACGCTATCTCGCTGTGTCTACATCACCCGTTCTGGAAGACCCCCATTGGATCCGAGATGTCCCGGGGCCGACGACCCCACTGCACCTGGCTCGTAGAAAAACCTCGATGCACCCAAATCAGTCCTGGGATGTCTCCCGGGTCACAACGATAGATGAAACCAAGCGTCTTTAAAATAACTCTGAAGGAGATTTGAGTCAGCTTTGTTCTGCAGGATACTGTCTTGTTGTTTCAGCTTCGCAGGTGCGAAAAAGGTTTAAGGTTCTGACAACGTGTCAAAATCCTTCTGGTTAAAGAGGCCTTCGCTCAGATGGCCGGTCTGGAGCTTTTCTCTAGAACCCTCGAACTGTTGCGCTGTTCGAACTGTTTTGTCTGAAGTTGAACTGAGGGGAAAACCAGAACTGGCTAGTTTTAATGGACTGATGTTATGATTGACTAACCAACCACAGGTTGACAAGTTTGAAGACATTACCAAGCATCACAGAGACCCACCCTCTGTGATGGAGACTCTGAATGTGGGCAAAAGGTTAACTTATGTGTCATGCCTTAACTTAACCTTACTTGTGAGTGCAAATGTTATGACCTCGTCAAGTAAACATACTAAACAATCATTGAGCACAGATTAATGAAACATTTCATTATTTGTAATTAGCAATAACAAAAGTTCATTCAATGATTATTTTTAATTATAAAATCTTCTTTTCTTCTGGGAATAAAGGAGTTTATTTTAAAAGAGTTCCTCTGTGATGGACCTTGGAGGAAAGATGTTATTGTTTATGTTTTATTATCTCTGCAGTCCAGCTGGTGTGAGGAAGTAGGTTCTGATTAAACGGGCTACGTGCAGACTCTCCAACTCCTGTCAGGGGAAAATACTGTAAGATGTGTCATAGCCAGGGTAAGTTGACCTGGCTGTGCATTTGACCTGTGGGATCTCAAAATCAGGCCATTTCGTGACGTTACAACATTTACCTCTTCACTCGTTGCCAGTAATGAAAGGAAGTCTGATGTACTTGTCATGTGGCTGAAGTTTGCACTACCCTAGGTTTTTTGACCCCAATGGGCATCCGTTGGTAAGATCTTACTCCAACACACAAATACTACTTGTTTGCATTGATTTAGGTATCTACTGCCCCCTATCGCCAGGAAAAATACACACTGTCTCTTTAGTGGTGGATTGCATAAACAAACCAAAACCTTTGAAGTCTTAAGGGATCGTGTGATCTCGCGAGTTGAGCGAGGAGCAGGGCAGAGAAGCCGCTTCGCTGCCGAGACTCCCCTGGTGTGCACTTGAGTTCTGTGATTGTCGCGAGTAAACCGTTCCACCGCCGTTCTGCACTGCTTTTGCTTCCAGTGTGCAGTAGGTGTTAGGGGTACTGGGATTACATTTAGCTGTGCTACAGATTGGGCTAGAAACGCTGATGTCTTTTGAGTTAAATTATGTGCTGAGTATATTATTCCCACCTTTTTTATTTTGTATATTGTCTCTTAAAACTCAGGCAGCAGCCTGCTTGAAAATATTATATTTTTTGTTCATTTCTTTTATTTTGCTTGCTGTAAACGTAGGATCAGTGTGTGTTTTATGGAACTGTTTTAAAGAAGGTGTTTTGAAAACCACTGCATTTCTACTTTTCATCCAACTAGTTGTGCAGACACTAGCACACAACTCCACAGCCACCCTCTCGGTTATTAAGGACTACCTGATCAGTAAGCTGCAGAGAGAGAGCCAGCAGATAGAGGATGATGAAAGCAAAATTAGCCAATACCGTGAGGAAACTGCTCATCTCCGCTCTGAGATTCAGGAGCTCAAAATGAGGTGAGTCACCGGAAGAATGAAAACCTTTCTGTTGGAACGGTTTCATCAGATGGGTTTGAGGGAAGAGTTCACTTTTCAGTTTCATACTGGCTGATGAGACTCAATCGTCTCAGATGACACAGCTTTCAAAAACTAACCAAACTGTTTCCACACAGTGCTAAAATATTCCAGAAGACCAAGTGCAACATGTGCAACAGCCCCTTGGAGATCCCATCCGTTCACTTCCTGTGCGGCCACTCCTTTCACCAACACTGCTTTGAAAGTTATGCAGAAAGTGAGGCAGAATGTCCAACTTGCACTCCAGAAAACTGTAAAGTCATGGATATGCTGCGTGCTCAGGACCAGAAGCGAGACCTGCACGACCACTTCAACCGTCAGGTAAGAACAGGAGTCTGTCTGAAAAGAGGGGGGCTTTACATCCGCATCCTTTCAACCATCTCCCACTTTCTGTCCCAACCCACAAAGAGCTGATGTTACATGATGATTTTCAGTTTTAGAGACTTTTAAGGAATCGTGTGTTTGTGTTAGCAGTCTGAACGCCTCATGTATGTGTAAATCTTTTGTGTCTTTTCTGTGTTTTAGCTCCGCAGCTCTAATGATGGTTTCTCAGTCGTGGCTGACTTTTTTGGTAGAGGAGTGTTTAACAAACTGACTCTGGTCACTGACCCCCCTGGTACCAAAACCCTTGGTGGTCTAGAGGTCAACCTGCAGCGAGACCTCATCCACACCAAGAGAAACAGTTAGACGTCTGCACTTGGGATGATGGCCTTAGCGTCTGCTTTGTCCTATTCTGTTGTTTTATTAAAAATGCATTAAAATCCTGCTTTGAGTATCTGGGATGGACCTTTTTGAATAAACTTGTTACAGTTTGCTTATCCCATTTTTCCTGTATGAAACCAATCATGTGTTCATGTCTAACATAGTACTCATAAATCTCAACGAGTCAGATTTGGATCTGATGCTGACAGCATTATTGATTAGAATATTTAAAATGTACAATTTTCTCTTAAGTTATAATTTTGTTTTATGTAAGAAATGAATTAAGCATGTATGTATGTTTTAAATAATTGATTCATGCTAATAAATCCAACTTGATCTGCTGCTACGGAACAAATTTTTACCTTACCGATGTGTATGATCTTTGACAAACAATTATTCTCTGATCACACAACTACAAGGGTTCTAAAGATTAATTTTGGGAGCTAAATGAGCGGTCTCTGGGGTTATTTCTCCGTAAAAGTAAGTTATAGATTCAAATCCCAGTCTCTCCACATTCCAATGACCTTGTGTATTACTGGATGAGAGGTTTATTTGGATTTAAACTTGTTTCAATTGTGTAAAATCTTTATTATTCATAATTTTTTCTGCTTTTAAAGCTTTAACAAAAGTTAAAACATTCAAATACGCAAATAAAGCTCCAGACTCATCAACTGCTTGATTTCTTTTATTCTGTAGAACAAATATACTTTCATAATCAAATGAAAAGGATTACAATTGAATTGAACTTAATTAGAATGTCTACTATCTTTGTTGTAAAGTTCAATGTTGTTACAAAATATAAAGACAAATACTGAAGCCAGTACTGAGCAACAACAAATTTCTGTTCTGTGCATCTTAAAGGATCTGGGACTGTGACTCTTTGGAATACAGTAATATGATTACTTCATTTTTGTTAAGGTATCCTACATGTACTCCTAGCTGTACAGATTTTACTCAAGTTTCACAATAATTACTACTTAAAGCGCAAGTCACCCCCAAATTCACTTTATTTTTTTGCTGATAAACTATATAAATGAGTGTGTAATTGTGCCGTAGACATGTGTAGTCAATAGTTTGGCACTTCAGTGCATCTTTGCTAAAATTTTAATTTTCTGCCTAAAACTGTCAGTGCTTTGCCATTGTCAGGTAAAAACTCTGCACTACATTTGAATTTAAATCTGTCACAGCTGTTTGCTAAGAGGTACCCTATGACATTAGCTGGTACATTATGATGTCACAATGCTGTTGTGAGCCTGTTTGTGTGTATTTGTTAGTGGCTCCACCCTCTCAGTCTACCAGGCAACAGCATTTGTTGCATTTTTCAAACATGAAGTGGGAGTGGAGTGAGTTTCTTGTAGGGGGTGACTTGCTCTTTAAGTGATCCTTTTGAGGAAGTTCTTTGTATGTAATTCATGTCTGAGGAGCAGTGGCCTGCTGTTTGAAGAGCGCCCACCTCTTGTTTTTTAGTAGTTCACTAAAATGTTTCACAATAACTAACACTGTAACACAAGTAAACAATTTCTTCAAATGAAGACAGAGACAGACAGCAATTCAAAAATGAAGATATTCCTCTTGAAATGGTTAAAATTAAATTACCTATTTTTTGTCGACATTGTTTCAAAATGTCTTCACTAAAAAGCATAATGCATAAAAATACATCAGCAGATCACAGCAGGTCAAGTAGAAACATTTATTCCCAGGTTTAGTTCCTGTTTTAGTGAATCTAAAGTCAGGTTTTTGATCCATATTTGTTACAAATAAAATAATTTGATACATTTACATTCAACTGAATTTAAGTAGAATAATTTTCGAATAAACTTACAAAACTTGCCAAATGCGATCTGAGAAAAATGACCATAATTATGACAAACTCTCAGTTTTTCTTTGGGCACCCTTGCTTATGGCAGGAACAACAAGGGCAGCAACAGCGACAGCAATAATGCTGTAGTTGACAGAAAAATCCACTCGGTGTCTCTGGGATAAATTCATCTTCCTGTACCCTCATCCTACTCAACCCTTCACGGATTCTGGTGAAACTTTCTTGCTTTGCTTGCTCTGGGATGGTACCTAACCCTGCTGTCTGATTTGCTTTGTTGCCAGTCCTAGGTTCCTTAGACTCTTTTTCTTTAAGAAAATGTTTCTCACTCTCAGTAAACGACATGAGTTGCGGGATATCAAAGTATCTCTTATCTAGCGATTTGTTATCCCTGTTCCAGTCACTTTGATTTACTGTGTACCAATATTCTGACGTAGATTTTGTTGATGTTTTTTCATTAAATGATAATGTTCTCTCTACAAAATGACTGATCACTTTTAATCTTTTCTCCAAATTGCTTCTAATTTTCTGACCCCTGTGCTTCAATACATCTATCTCCCTACGGTCAGCTCTGGTGTCCTTCCAAATCTTTCGCAAGCGTTCTCTATTTCCCTGATTGATGAAATCATCTTTTTCAGTAGAAATTGTGGTAAGGGTTGCATGTTCCATCTTGTATAGCTCTTCATTTTTATTTTCTGGCAGTGAAATATTCCTCTCACGTTTTGCACCAATACTATCTAGCGTTTTATCATGGCTAGCGTTGTCAAACATTGGGGGATGTTCACTTTCAAAAGATTTAAAAGTGGCAGATGATGTTAGAAAATCTTTAGATGTTTTAGACTGTTTCAATTCTTGTTTTGTGAAAGCTTGATTAAACACAAAATCAGTTTGGATAGCCTTTTCACATTTTGTTATCAAAAATGGATTTGGTATTTCCACTAGTACTTTATGCAAAGGAGATTTTTGTGGCTTCTCTGTGTCATTAAAATGAATACTTAGCAGATCCTTTTCATTGTGCACCTTGAGTCTGGAAAAATGTTGTTTGAATTTATTTAGTCTTTCTTTCATTTGATTTATTTGATCCGTCACCGTTCCAGCCATTTGCTTCCAGTTATTGTCCAAACTTAGTCTCTTCTTGATGGTTTCAGAAAGGACAGCTTTCAAAATTTCCCTTTGCCTCTCAAACACTTTCTTATAGTCATCCATTTTTTCCTTTTGTTTGTCAAAAGAAATGGTCTTTTGCTCTAACAGGGTGTCCATTCTGTTGACAGCTTGCTGGCATTTTTGTAATGCATTGAGTTTGTCTTGTATGTTCTCAGATGTTTTGTCTCTAAGGACTTGAAGTGCTGCCCGTAGATTCTCAGCTGAATGTGTTTTCTTCAACAGTTCATCCTTTGTCGTTTCCAACTTGGACCATTCTTCTTTCAGTGTACTCTTCTCATTGGATATCAGATATTTGTCTTTTTCAACTTCCACCTTGAGTTTGGCAACCTGTTCTTTGTCTTTGCCAATGTTTGTCATGGCAAGTTGAACTTTGTCTTTTACCAGTGTAATGGTCTTCCTTAAACTCTCCAACTTTTCTGTGTCCACCTGTAATTTTTTATGTGTGATTTGCAACTCTTTTTCGAGTGTTTGAATGTCTTGATCTTTCCTTTGTCTTTCTTGGTATTTTACATTTATCGATTTCAAAGAATCCTGAAGCCTTTGACTTTGCTGTTTGACATTCAGTGACATATTTAGAAGTTTGGTTTTCTCCCTGTGAAGTTGGTCCAAGGCAGTGTTTACATCTTCTCTTTCTTTGTTCAGTTCAGCCTTTGTGATCTCCAACTTGTCTTGTTCATCTTTAATGAGATGTCTTTCTTGTTGTAATATTGCCGTTTCCTTCTGGATTTCAGACTTAAGGCATTCCAATTCCATTTTATCTTGAGCCAATTTGTCAGTTGTCGAGTCGAGATTATCTCTGTCTTGTTTCAGTCTTTCTTTCATTTGCTTTATTTGATCTGTCACCATTCCAGCCATTTGCTTCCAGTGATTGTCCAAACTTAGTCTCTTCTTGATGGTTTCAGAAAGGACAGCTTTCAAAATTTCCCTTTGCCTCTCAAACACTTCCTGATAATCATCCATTTTTTCCTTTTGTTTGTCAAAAGAAATGGTCTTTTGCTCTAATAGGGTGTCCATTCTTTGGACAGCTTGTTGGCATTTTTGCAATGCGTTGAGTTTGTCTTGTATGTTCTCAGATGTTTTGTCTCTAAGGACTTGAAGTGCTGCCTGTAGATTCTCAGCTGAATGTGTTTGCTTCAACAGTTCATCCTTTGTCGTTTCCAACTTTGACCATTCTTCTTTCAGTGTACTCCTCTCATTGGATATCAGATATTTGTCTTTTTCAACTTCCACATTGAGTTTGGCAACCTGTTCTTTGTCTTTGCCAATGTTTGTCATGGCAAGTTGAACTTTGTCTTTTACCAGTGTAATGGTCTTCCTTAAACTCTCCAACTTTTCTGTGTCCACCTGTAATTTTTTATGTGTGATTTGCAACTCTTTTTCGAGTGTTTGAATGTCTTGATCTTTCCTTTGTCTTTCTTGGTATTTTACATTTATCGATTTCAAAGAATCCTGAAGCCTTTGACTTTGCTGTTTGACATTCAGTGACATATTTAGAAGTTTGGTTTTCTCCCTGTGAAGTTGGTCCAAGGCAGTGTTTACATCTTCTCTTTCTTTGTTCAGTTCAGCCTTTGTGATCTCCAACTTGTCTTGTTCATCTTTAATGAGATGTCTTTCTTGTTGTAATATTGCCGTTTCCTTCTGGATTTCAGACTTAAGGCATTCCAATTCCATTTTATCTTGAGCCAATTTGTCAGTTGTCGAGTCGAGATTATCTCTGTCTTGTTTATGTCTTTCTTTCATTTGCTTTATTTGATCTGTCACCATTCCAGCCATTTGCTTCCAGTGATTGTCCAAACTTAGTCTCTTCTTGATGGTTTCAGAAAGGACAGCTTTCAAAATTTCCCTTTGCCTCTCAAACACTTCCTGATAATCATCCATTTTTTCCTTTTGTTTGTCAAAAGAAATGGTCTTTTGCTCTAATAGGGTGTCCATTCTTTGGACAGCTTGTTGGCATTTTTGCAATGCGTTGAGTTTGTCTTGTATGTTCTCAGATGTTTTGTCTCTAAGGACTTGAAGTGCTGCCTGTAGATTCTCAGCTGAATGTGTTTGCTTCAACAGTTCATCCTTTGTCGTTTCCAACTTTGACCATTCTTCTTTCAGTGTACTCCTCTCATTGGATATCAGATATTTGTCTTTTTCAACTTCCACCTTGAGTTTGGCAACCTGTTCTTTGTCTTTGCCAATGTTTGTCATGGCAAGTTGAACTTTGTCTTTTACCAGTGTAATGGTATTCCTTAAACTCTCCAACACTTCTGTGTCCTCCTGTAATTGTTTTTGTCTGTTTTGTAGTTCTGTTTCTAGTGTTTGGATGTCTTGATCTTTCCTTTGTCTTTCTTGGTGTTTTACATTTATCGATTTCAAA